AAAAAGTATACTAACATAAAATTACACATACCATAAAGTAAGAAATTCATCATAAATATAAAAATAATTTGATTTTTGTTTTAAAAATATTTCAATTCTAAAATTGATCTCTGTATGTCACCCACAGTTATTTCTGTTTACTCAAAAATTAATCCTACAACCTTTACAGCAGGTTTCTTCATAAAAATTAAGAAAACAGTCTTCATGGTATCAGTAAAGATTGCTAAGATTACATTGATTTAGCAGAAATGAGAATGGAGTTAGATTACCTACAGAAATTTGTGCGAAATCAATATCGTCCGAGTGATGACACAGCGAGGAAGGCGCAGAAGTGACAAGTGACATCCTGTTAGGGTAACAGTGATGTCACATGTTGAATGGTCTATAGTGACATGTGACATTCTCACAGTGATGTCACCGAGTGAAAGGGACAGAAGTGACAAGTGACATCCTTGTAGAGTGAGAGTGATGTCACATGTTGAACGGTCTATAGTGACATGTGACATTCTCACAGTGATGTCACCAGGTGAGGTCACAGTATTAATGGCCGCAAAGTGACTAGTGACATCCATATTGAGATATGTTACATGATGAATGGCGAATAGTGTATATAGACATTCTCAGTGTGTGATGTCAGGGTTGACAGCCATTAGTGACAAGTGACATCCATATTAAGATATGTTACATGATGAATGGCCAATAGTGTGTTTAGACATTCTCAGTGTGTGATGTCAGTGTTGACAGCCATTAGTGACTAGTGACATCCATATTGAGATATGTAACGTGATGAATGGCCAATAGTGTATATAGACATTCTCAGTGTGTGATGTCACAGTGTTGACAGTCATTAGTGACTCGTGACATCCATATTGAGATATGTTACATGATGAATGGCCAATAGTGTGTTTAGACATTCTCAGTGTGTGATGTCAGTGTTGACAGTCATTAGTGACAAGTGACATCCATATTGAGATATGTAACATGATGAATGGCCAATAGTGACTATAGACATTCTCAGTGTGTGATGTCAGTGTTGACAGCCATTAGTTACTAGTGACATCCATATTGAGATTTGTAACGTGATGAATGGCCAATAGTGTATAGACATTCTCAGGGTGTGATGTCAGTGTTGACAGCCATTAGTGACTAGTGACATCCATATTGAGATATGTCACATGATGAATGGCCAATAGTGTATATAGACACGCTCAGTGTGTGATGTCAGTGTTGACAGCCATAAGTGACTAGTGACATCCATATTGAGATATGTTACATGATGAATGGCCAATAGTGTGTTTAGACATTCTCAGTGTGTGATGTCAGTGTTGACAGCCATTAGTGACAAGTGACATCCATATTGAGATATGTTTTGTGATGAATGGCCAATAGTGTATATAAACATTCTCAGTGTGTGATGTCACAGTGTTGACAGCCATTAGTGACTAGGGACATCCATATTGAGATATGTTATGTGACGAATGGCCAATAGTGTATATAGACATTCCCAGTGTGTGATGTCAGTGTTGACAGCCATCAGTGACTAGTGACATCCATATTGAGATCTGTCATGTGATGAATGGCCAATAGTGTATAGACATTCTCAGTGTGTGATGTCACAGTGTTGAAAGCCATTAGTGACTAGTGACATCCATATTGAGATCTGTCATGTGATGAATGGCCAATAGTGTATAGACATTCTCAGTGTGTGATGTCACAGTGTTGACAGCCATTAGTGACTAGTGACATCCATATTGAGATATGTTAAGTGATGAATGAGCAATAGTGTATATAAACATTCTCAGTGTGTGATGTCACAGTGTTGACAGTCATTAGTGACTCGTGACATCCATATTGAGATATGTTACATGATGAATGGCCAATAGTGTATATAGACATTCTCAGTGTGTGATGTCACAGTGTTGACAGCCATAGTGACTAGTGACATCCATATTGAGATATGTTACATGATGAATGGCCAATAGTGTATATAGACATTCTCAGTGTGTGATGTCAGTGTTGACAGCCATTAGTGACAAGTGACATCCATATTGAGATATGTAACGTGATGAATGGCCAATAGTGAATATAGACATTCTCAGTGTGTGATGTCACAGTGTTGACAGCCATTAGTGACTAGTGACATCCATATTGAGATATGTTACATGATGAATGGCCAATAGTGTATATAGACATTCTCAGTGTGTGATGTCACAGTGTTGACAGTCATTAGTGACTCGTGACATCCATATTGAGATATGTTACATGATGAATGGCCAATAGTGTATATAGGCATTCTCAAGTGTGTGATGTCACAGTTTTCAATGGCCAAAAGTGACTAGTGATTTCATCATAGAGTAAAGTCAGTATTGAAAGGTGACCAGTGAACGACCTTGAGTGTCATGTGACATCCTCAGGGAGTAATGTCACTAAGTGGAAGGGACAAAGGTGACTAGTGACATCCTTATAGAGTAATGTCACTTAAGTGGAAGGGACAGAAGTGACTAGTGACATCCTCATAGAGTGATGTCACTGAGTGGAACAGCCTGATGTGTCATGTGTCATACTCATAGAATGATTTCAACAAGTGGAATGGCTAAGTGACTAGTGACATCCTCATGAGAGAGTAATGACACAGAGAGTGATGTCACAGAGAGTAATGACACAGAGAGTGATGTCACAGAGAGTGATGACACAGAGAGTGATGTCCTTATATAGAGTTGTCTCTACAATGAAGGTCACAGAGTGCCTAAGAGTGAATCAATCCACTCAGATATTGGTTAGCCTTAATGTGGGACAGCAGTAGTTTCCCGAAGCATACAGTAGAAATATAGTACTTGTAAAACTTGGCTGGCGAGTTGGTAAACTCCTCATTGTTTATGAGAAATACAGGTCAATAAACCAGAAACGCAAACCGATCTAGAAGTGTTTGCCCAGACAGACACGATGGAAGGCCACGGTGATGTAGATCCTTCCTTGACATCCCTGGATAGCATTATTGCCAAAGTCTGGCTCGCAGCTAAGGATTACATCATTCTGCAAGTGAATATAGTCAGGTGACTGCTTTAAAACGGCAAATAAAAAAAAACGAATTTAAGATTCCAATCCAATCTGACAAGACTTTTGATGAGAATTAATTTAATGCAATTGGAAAATCCTTCATGAGAAAAAGATATTAACTGTCTGAAATTTCTATTCAATATCACCAATCCTTCATAAGAAAAAGAATGAATTGCTTGTTTGAAATTCTTATTAATTCAAATCTTGACATTTTTGAGAAAGATTGTGTCCTTGACTATTTCGTTTTAACATAAAGGAGATGTCACATGGCCCAAAAATCAATGTGCTCAATTTAAATACAGATGGAAATAGTAATTCCCCATTCCGACTGTAAAACTTGTAAATATGGCTAGGCCATTTGTGAGACAGGACTGAAAGGCTTGAAATGTTACCAAGAGTGAAGTAAAGTCCATTATTATTATCATATAGATTGCTAATTATATCTACACATGGTGGCCGAACCTCTCACATTTGACGTTATACATTTTAACAACAGCTGTTTAAGAACAGTATACAAAATTTAGTAAAGCTTGCCTATTGGAAGAATATTCAAAATATAGTTAAGTCAGCCTGATAAAAAAAAATCAATTCATTTCAATTATTTTTTCTGGTCTGACAATGCTGCATATGCTGCATCAGTATTGAAACTTTCCACAAAAAAAATAAGCCAAATATCGCCACAAATACTGAATAAATGTTGAAACTCGAACCAAAACGTCAAGCTGACAATGTCACTGACAGGGTTACTATTATTGCATCTATCTTCTTTGAACGTTCACACTTAAAAAAAATCTTTTGTTTTTAAGCACGAAACTATATCTAGAAAGTAGAATGCAGGTTAAAGAAATGCTGGTATATAGGTGATGGACTGGCAATATTGTGCCTTTTGCTGGAGTTATCTCCCATTACTAGTTATCACATCACTATTGTGTAATATGTAGTGAATATGGCTGTCATTCTTTTGTCATATTTATTTATTGCAAAGTGACTTTTTAATTGTGATGTTACAGGTGATTCAGTTAAAGCCCCACATCATAAATATCAAGAGTGTTATTGAAAACAGAAAAAAATGGTGAAAGATTTTCTAAATATTCACACAAAATCTTAGTTGCCTGAAAAAAAAGAAGGAAATTTGAGTTGTTTACATTTTATACATTTTAAGTTACCTGTCCCTATGTTTCAGTTTAGCTCAACACAGCCTCCCTAATTGACAATTTCTAGACCTATTTCATAAATCTTATGTGAAATGAAAGCTTGTTTCAGAACCTTTATATAAATTGCAACCAGTGTAACTTAATGTTACTTTACTGGCATGTCACAGTGGTCAAATTAAACATTTTACCAAGTTGACAACCAGAGCAATCATACTTGAACTTTGACAAACACCACACATACCTGAAAACCATACCATTTCAACACATAATAAAATATATAATTATCAAACAATAAAAACCATCTGGAGATGAGAGATGACACACAGATGAAAAGTGACATAGAAGTTTAATGGAGTAAAAAGTGCAGGTATGTAAACACCAGTTGGTTTGACAAACACAAGAAAATCAGATCGAAAGCAGAGAAGAGAGAAAATGGAACTGCAACAGATAGAAATACAAAACTTGGTCTTTACTTGGAGCATTGAAAGATAAAGTTTACGATAACCAGGCAAGGTAGTCTAGTGGTAGGACGCCGGGCCCATGACCGAAGGGTTGCGGGTTCGAGTCACATCACGGCATTGTGTCGTATCTTTGAGCAAGATACTTTACTCCGCTTGTTCCAGTCTACTTAGCTGTAAATGGGTATGTGGTTTGGCAGTGCTAGAATTGTTGAATGCTAGCTGTTAGCGCCGAAATGGCAGCTCCGGCTAGCCGGATGCTGCCCAGGGAGTTGAGAAAGATATTGGCGGTTGCAAAGGCCCTATAACCACGGATAATACTTTGTGAACCGCTTTGAGACGACCTACGGACTAGGTTGTGATAAAGCGGTATATAAAAACCTTAAATTATTATTATTATTATAAGGCAAAGTATTGAGAGCAATCTATAGTCCCCCACCTCTGAAAACTTCGGTATCAAATATACACAAAGGGCCATAACTCTATACAGTCAGGCATGTGACCCGAGTTTTTGTTCAAAACACTCTGCCATTCCAAGAGGTTCTCCCAAACAAAATTTAATAATTGAAGGTAAAAGTGTATGAACTGATAGATGGGGTGCAAACCTATGGCCCTTTCTGGTAGGAGACAAACAGAAAAAGACAGTATAGATATTGTATACAAGTCATACAAGAATTTTCCAACTTTATACATATATGAGGATTATGCATTATATCATTTTGTGTCTGTATTATGGTAAGCAAATTTTGTAATACTTGTAATACCCCTACACTTGTTTGTCACATGAGTGAATCATACCTTTTTTTACTACAGACCCCATATAGGCACAGCTTGACATCTTTTAAGAATCCAGAGTAGCTATATAACATTCATTTTAAATTTTGAATAGTCTTATTCCGAAAAAATACTTTCCTAGTAAAAGCTAATGTCCCCTCCCCCCCAAATATCTGCCCTGGGTCTAGTACTCTATAGATGTAAGTTGTACACCTCTGCTATTTCTCACATTTTAAATAACGATTCCAAAATATTCTGTATGTTAACAGTCCAATTGATGTTAAAAATATATTTCATCCCTGGAAACACCACCATGGACTAATTATATATAACACACAAGTTGCTCAAGGGTGCAGTGATGGGTACAATCATTCGTCTTCGGCTTAAAAATATATTTCAACACATGAGTTGCTCGAGAATGCAGTGATAATCATTTACAATGAAAGACTTCATCTACATGTTAATAAAAAATATATAAAAATCAGTCCAATAAATATCTGACAATCTTGAATGCACTGTACAACATAACACTATACACAATATTGTCCCAGGCGTTGGCACACCTGTTGAATAGAGGATCCATATTTACGTCCCAATACAAGGCACCTACTGGTACATATCACAACTCGCACAGATTGGCCCCGTTAATTAGCACCCGGCACATTCAACGCTCCACGTCACGTCCTGAGTTCCCTGGACCTCGGTCAATCACTTCACCGGAGAGTGACATCAACGCTCCACTTCACGTCCTGAATTCCCTGGACCTCGGTTAATCATTTCAACGGAGACTGACATCAGGGCTATGTTCTGTGAACGATACAGAAAATGATATCATAGTTTTTATTTTCTACAAAAACAATATACGTATTAAACAAGTCGCAATGTTTCAAGACCGACTGGTCCCTTTGTTAAGCTATGACAGAAAATGGTATATTAATAAATATCAAGTATCACTTACTACTGCAATGCGTTTTTTGTAGTAATATATTTGGCTATGATATGTGAAATGAGTAATCGCAAATACAATAAAAAGTTTGACATGATTTTATGTGTTAATTATGTTTTGATTGACTCTGAATTAAGTTCCAAAATGCATGCTGAATGTTTTCGATTTACTGCAAATAGCTTCCTCTCCTTTTCTTTGATTCCAATACATGAAACCTAAATTTGGTGGGTGGCTGTCACATAACATTGTGTCAAGGTATGAATAATACAGACAAAACTAGAAATATCAATGAATAAATGTCAAGTAGAACACAAAGAGTAACTTCTTTCTGTACATTTTTGCATAATTTTTTTATCGCCAGTTTATTTGTACTTTTGTATGTACAGCCAGAGTTCAAAAGTCTTTCACATTAAGTCATTTTCCCCATTACATTCTTTATTCATTTACTTTTCAAAAATTATTTTTCCTTCCTTCCTTTTAAGTCAAAAGTTGATTAATTTTGATTTTATAAAAATTGGAGTTCAAATTAAAAAAAGTTTGGAAAATATTTCTTATTAAGTAAAAGTAAAAGTCCAATGGGAAACTTATCTAATGTGAAAGACTTTTGACATTTGGCTGTACATGTACCTACTAGGGATTTAAAACATTTTGAAGTTTTTCGCTGCAATGTTGCTTTCTTATCAAGAGATCTGAGGATCAAATTCCAGGGGTAAAGAGGTTATTTTTAAGAAAAAGAAATAGAAATATTTCTTTTGTGTCTTTCCTATAGTTAAAAGGCAAGCAAGCAAGCAACAAAAAGTCAGAAAAATGTCAAACAATTTGGGACTCTTTTTTCCCCCCTTGAGATACGACTCAGAGCACTAGGAATGTCTACCATAAGGACTGACTGGGTATTCCATTGCTCGCACTGCCTGATGAAGGGAAGTGAGCCTCATGCAAATTAAATGAACTGCAAAAGTTTGCAGCTGACCTGATTTCACTTATCAGGCCACTTAAGCAACCAAAGACTCATTCAATCATTATATTGATATCAGAACTACTTCATCTCCATGCCTTTAAATAACATCGAAATCATGTTATCATCAGAAAATTCAATTAAAGGAACAGCCGTTCTTGGGTAATTGGTTTGTGCTCTCTAATGTAACGTTAACAATCACACTGTTACAATCAGAACTGTTCAGTCATTTTGGTGAAAACAAAAGTACTCCCAAACCTAGTAATTGAGGGTATAGTACCACGCTTCTCCTTCTGGTGTCCACTGATTTTGGGCCTGAGGATAGTATTTTCATGATTATGAAGTGGAATGCTCGGAATTTCTCTTGTAGAAAAAGTACTATGATCGGTCAATGAGGGGTGGACAATCAATACGTGATTGAACCCTGGTTGATCCCATCATCAATTGTTATGTCTTTCAAGCAGACCTAGTTGTTAATATCAGCTGCTCCTCTGTAGAAGTGAAAACATCAAATTTTGCTAATTATGACCTTGTTAAGGAAATTACCCCAGAAATAACTGACGCAGAAAAAAAAGGCATCTCTCCGCATCACTCAGGGTTGACTTGTGTGGTGTGCTTGAGTATTAATTCTATCAAAGTTTTTGAGTTTTTTGGAAATTTCTTGAAATCAGATAGTTTAAAACCCTAAAAAAGCATCTCTTCACAATGTGATTGACTTAGGTATTTTAAATTAATTTATAATCAAATCTTTCAACAATTTTAGGGAAATACAAATAGGAACTAAACTGTACATATTTCAGACAATGTTTCCATGGGAATTCAAAATTTCTTGAAATCAGAAAGGTAATTAATTAATACCAAAGTGCAACCCACAGCAGTGTGACTGTCTCATGTATGAAGTTTGAAAATCATATCTGTGACAATGTTTGAGATATGCAAAGAAAACACAAATACGCACAAAAACGTACACATATGTTATCAGGCACCATTTCCTGTGACCGCAGGAAATTTCATGATATCGGAAACCTATCTTGGCACCATCATGATGGACTCGTGCAAGAAATTTAAAGACAATATCTGTAACGGCTTTTGAGATATGTTCAGGAAACTATTGTGCACAGGGGGACAGAGAAACTGTCTGTGTAATGTCAGGGATCATATATAGATGATCGATAAACAGTGTGGACATATGTTTGTGTCAGTAATGGTTCTTCATAATCCTTGTGTGTGAATATTATTGCGCTAGATTACTCAATGCAAAAACAAAAATGACCTTTTCCACACTGCAAACATTTCCACTCTTACAGTATTAAATTAACTATTAGTTGCTTAAACACTTATCTTAATTACTTGAACAGTTAATTGTCACCATGACACAAAGTTCAAATTCCTATGCAAATCAAGAGTTGCAAAACCATTTTGATGAATTGGTAAAATGATGTTCAAAGATTTGGGAGTGAAAATGGCAAAATGCTAGGGCTATAACTTTAATTAACATGGCGTAATGATACGTATCACTACACAGTGGTCACAATACGATACGTATCACTACACAGTGGTCACAATACGATACGTATCACTACACAGTGGTCACAATACGATATGTATCACTATACAGTGGTCACAATATGATATGTATCACTACACAGTGGTCACAATACGATATGTATCACTATACAGTGGTCATAATACGATATGTATCATTACACAGTGGTCACAATATGATACGTATCACTATACAGTGGTCACAATACGACATGTATCACTATACAGTGGTCACAATACGATATGTATCACTACACAGTGGTCACAATACGATACATATCACTATACAGTGGTCACAATATGATATGTATCACTATACAGTGGTCACAATATGATATGTATCACTATACAGTGGTCACAATACGATACGTATCACTACACAGTGGTCACAATATGATACGTATCACTACACAGTGGTCACAATACGATACGTATCACTACACAGTGGTCACAATACGATATGTATCACTATACAGTGGTCACAATACGATATGTATCACTACACAGCGGTCACAATACGATACATATCACTATACAGTGGTCACAATACGATAAGTATCACTACACAGTGGTCACAATACGATATGTATCACTATACAGTGGTCACAATACGATATGTATCACTACACAGCGGTCACAATACGATACATATCACTATACAGTGGTCACAATACGATAAGTATCACTACACAGTGGTCACAATACGATATGTCTCACTATACAGTGGTCACAATACGATATGTATCACTATACAGTGGTCACAATACGATATGTATAACTACACAGTGGTCACAATACGATACGTATCACTACACAGTGGGCACAATACGACACGTATCACTATACAGTGGTCACAATACGATACATATCACTATATAGTGGTCACAATACGATACATATCACTATACAGTGGTCACAATACGATAAGTATCACTACACAGTGGTCACAATACGATATGTATCACTATACAGTGGTCACAATACGATACATATCACTATATAGTGGTCACAATACGATACATATCACTATACAGTGGTCACAATACTATACGTATCACTACACAGTGGTCACAATACGATACGTATCACTATACATTGGTCACAATACCATACGTATCACTATACAGTGGTCACAATACGATACATATCACTATACAGTGGTCACAATACGTTACGTATCACTATACAGTGGTCACAATAAGATATGTATCACAAAACATAAAGTAACAGTAGAAGCAAAGTGAAAAGATATGTTGCAAATATAAATAGCAATATTATAACTGGAAATAGACTTGGTCCAAAATGGGCATGACTTTTTTTTTAGAGTTTCACACAATTCACATCTTTCGACGTGCATGCCGAGCTGGAGCTGTCACTCGCCATGTTGGAATGGATATGAGTAGACTAAATTCAGAAACGATAAAATCCGGAAAATGTTGTTTGCGTTTAGCAACTTCCCCAAAAATATTGTGTATGATCACACCCTATTCAAAATATTGCAATATATTGTTGCAGCTCTTCAAAATACACTGCAAAATCTTTATTCTAAAATGAAATTGGAATATATAGATCAACTGATTGTATTACCAATTCATTACACTCAAATGCATATCGAATTCCAATCAATATAATTTGTGGCAATCATCTGACTGATTACAATCACTACCCCAGAATACAAGACAAACTTTCAAGATGATTTAACCAGTCTGAAGTTAATTATTGTAATGAAACCACCCTACCTGGAGAGACTGAGACTAAGGTTAAAGGTATTGCCTGGCAGCGATACAGAGACTTATTAACTGCCTGGCAGATGAATCGACAGGAGTATCTATTCCTTCTCGACAAGGCATGATTTATATTACAATACCAATAGTGAGTCATATTGATGTCTAAAACTGTTATCATGTACATTGCAATGATACCTCTAATGATTGTAATTCAGTTTGAGTTGCTATCTCGTTACCAATGAACGACTTCTGATGACAGGTATAATTTGTTGGTGATGATCGAGGCCATCACAAACATCAAGACGGTGCTGATGTTTGATGTAGATTGAGGTCTGGTGGTCCCAGGTGTGCTCGAGTTGGCCTATATTAATTACAGGAACATGGGAGCGCCATGGTGTGTTCTTCTTTTGGTCTATTTTTAACTTTGTGCAACAACTTTACTAATAGGGTCTGGAAACCTCACACGGTGGCACGTTTCCTGTACGCTCTCCAACTCCTTTATTTGTTAAGATTCGTGAAGACTTAACATCAATGCTTGACAAATGCAGCTAATAATGATTTGCACAAAACACAAAGTCGGTCGTAACACAACTGATAAATGTTCAATCTTGATCGACATGTGGGTTGTTGACTGTATTAAATTAATCTTATCACTGCTAAGCACATATCTCCCATTGTGCAATCTTCAATGCGAGTCAACAGCAACATGTGACTGGTGTTCATCAGACAGTTAGGGCTATATATGCTACATTATCCAAACATGCATCTCATATCAAACAAGAGTACCGTGGGCAGAACAATATACGCCTGTCGAATGCCATATAGTGTTATATACTTTCTTACATTGAAATAATTATATAAGATATGCATCATTCTAAGAGTGGTTAGCCGACATGCTATAAAAAATGTAGGAGAAAATCTCGGGTCAAAAAATTAAATACTGAAATGAACAAAGGGCAAGAACTTAATTATGTGATTTATGATAGCATTATTGAAAAATTGTAGGGCAATTAGTATGTGTAACTTGTGTACATTCAAACATTCTGCTTTCTTTATATCACAATAAATGTAGAATAGATTAAAACTGAATCTAAAAAGTGATGTTGTGCGTAATAAACATGTCTATAATCAACTGATAGGCCTATTTATCAAAGTTTCAATGACACAATGTCAATATGCCTGTTTACTTGAAGTTGAAAGTTTTCTTCTAGTTTGGTCTAGATACGTCTTTGGGCGGTTTTAATTATTCAATGAGTATTCCCGAAATTACTGAGCAAAAAATTGTGTTTTCACTAACGATATGCTATGGTTGCTTCAAAATAGTAAATACAACTTCACAAATGGAACGATGACATTGATGACGGGATTTAGATTACCCTCATGCATGGGGCCCCGTCGCTGCATTGGACGGCGACTTGCAGTGATTTTTTACCTTTATAGACATTATCATCAATACAGTTGTATATATAGGTAGGAATACTACACTTGCAGCATACATGACCTTTGAAAACACTTATTTACGTAAAGTATTGCTGTCTTGTCCGCTAGATGAGTCCGACATGGCTGAGAGATATCTAAGCAATCATGCCATGGCAATCATGGTAAAATATTCTCCAAATGAGATCCAAGGGAATATGCCAGACCCAAATGCGTGTGTGTGTTAGGCCCATCATTTGTACAATTTTGAATCCCTGCCTCCCATGAATGCTTCTGATCAAATATGATCGATATCCATGGCAAAATTCTACAGAAGTCGTTTATAGCAATATAGCCAAATTGCCCACTTTTGGCCCCACCCCTCATCCCCCTGGGGGGCCAGCCCCAACATTTGTACAATTTTGAATCCCCACCTCCTAGGGATGCTTCCAGTCTAATATGGTTGATATCCAGTGCATAGTTCTACAGAAGTTGTTTGTAGGAATATAGCCAAATTGTCCCCTTTTGGCCCCCCCTCTCAGCCCCTCGGGGGTTAGCCCAACCATTTGTACAATTTTTGTATCCCCATCACCTAGGGATGCTTCCAGTCAAATATGGTTGATATCCAGTGGATAGTTCTACAGAAGTCGTTTGTAGCAATATAGCCAAATTGCCCCCCTTCCCTAAGCCCCCTGAGGGCGTCAGCCACACCATTTGTACAATTTTGAATCCCTGCTTCCCATGAATGCTTTTGATCAAATATGATCGATATCAAGTGCATAGTTCTTTAGAAGAAGTTGTTTGTAGCAATATAGCCAATTTGCCCCCTTTTGGACCTGCCCCTCAGCCCTCTGGGGGGTCAGCCCCAACATTTGTGCAATAATAAAATCTCCACTACCTAGGGATACTTCCAGTTAAATATGGTTGATATCAATCACTCAGTTCACGAGAAGAAGACGCTTAAAGCAATATAGCCAAATAACCATTTTGGCCCCGTCCCTAAGCCCCCTGTGGGGTCAGCCACACCATTTGTACAATTTTGGATCCCTGCCTCCCATGAATGCTTTTGATCAAATATGATCGATATCCAGTGCATAGTTCTACAGAAGTTGTTTGTAGGAATATAGCCAAATTGTCCCCTTTTGGCCCCACCTCTCAGCCCCTCGGGGGTTAGCCCAACCATTTGTACAATTTTTGTATCCCCACCACCTAGGGATGCTTCCAGTCAAATATGGTTGATATCCAGTGGATAGTTCTACAGAAGTTGTTTGTAGGAATATAGCCAAATTGTCCCCTTTTGGCCCCACCTCTCAGCCCCTCGGGGGTTAGCCCAACCATTTGTACAATTTTTGTATCCCCACCACCTAGGGATGCTTCCAGTCAAATATGGTTGATATCCAGTGGATAGTTCTACAGAAGTTGTTTGTAGGAATATAGCCAAATTGTCCCCTTTTGGCCCCACCTCTCAGCCCCTCGGGGGTTAGCCCAACCATTTGTACAATTTTGAATCCCCACTACCTAGGGATACTTCCAGTCAAATTTAGTTGAATTCCAATCAGTGTTTAAGAAGAAGAAATTGTTTAAAGAAATTGTTGAAGGACGACAGACGCAACGGTATGGCATAAGCTCACCTTGGTCCTTCGGACCAGGTGAGCTAATAATTCCGAGGTTATCATTCACGTAGCGTTAGACGCAAGATCAAGATTTGGTAAAAAAACACCAGAACTAACATGGAACGGAGCCTATAATTGGGTTCCTTGGGCTTTTGAAATAAGAACTTCTCCTTCCATTCCTGATAAAAAAAAAGTCTCCAAGATCTGTGGTATTTTGAAACAGATTTAGTATCTTCTTATATGCATGTGTGAAAATGTGATCTGTTCTTAATTGGGTTTAATGTCATGTAATCCTTAAGGATACACCAGGTACGTACTGATCGAAAACAATTCTTGTACATAGTTTTATTTTATTGCTAGAATACTTACAGTTTTGTAGAAGCAAGAATATCTTCACACAGTTTTTTGTAATGCCATGTGTCTCCTTTGACCCTCTTTCGGCAAACTCCTATATTGGGCATCTTTGGAATGGCACACACTTCCATGTCAAATGCAAGCTTGACCTTTCCCCAGTCGTCTGTCACTGTACACCGTAGGGTGTAGCTACAACAGACATATCAAACATGAGACGGATCAACTTTTGTCACAAAGTCACTGTCTAGTGATGTCGGGTATGTCTATAAAGTTTCATCGAGATTTTTTATCAGTTAATATGAAAAAACATTAATGCGACAGTTGACCTGAATTTAATACCTTGACCTTAAAGTGAGGGTTCAAGTTAAAGATGTTACCATAAGTATATAAAGTTTCCGCGAAATAATTTCATCAGTTCAGAAATTATGCTCCAGAGGAGAAATACCTGTACAGAAAATATACCACAAGATCATGTCCAGATATGTGAGGGTAAATAAATGCCTTAGTTTTCATTGTTCTGAAGAAGACGGTCAATATCCACTCCCATAATACACTATATATACGATAACCACTCAAGAGGCCTGTTAATATGACCACTGGATCCTTAACGCAGTAAGACACTTCACTGTGGGTATGGTCAAAGCTGATTATATTCTGTAATGTTGAATTGACAGAAAGTGTTTTCCTGGTTCTAAATTTATAGAGACCCTGGTGTGCAAGATACTTACTCGCTCTGTTTGTAAGGTATGAACTTCTTTTCGATGACCCCCTTTAGCCGCGACAGCACCAAGTCTGGGCTAAACTCGCTCGTCCTGTACACGTTGTGTAAAGCCTGTAACAGACACAATTATACATAGAGGATATCCAACAACACATATGTTTAAGTCCTGGACTCGAGCTTCCCTTACGGGACACACGTCCATAATAAAGAACCCCATACATCTCTTAGTAATAGGACTCGTCAATATTCAGGACAAGCCTGAAAAATAACAACAAGAATCAAGAACATTCAATACATATGATTAATATTGATTAAACAGAATCTTTTCCTACTTTGAGACAAGGGATGTTCCATTCCAAGTACGGCTAAACTTCCTTCAGCACTACTTAAGCAGTAGTCTTCAGGAGACTCAGGCAGCATTTTCACCTGGCCCTCAGTTATGTTCATGACATATTGAGACTGCTTTTAATGAATAAAGCTGAATTCAAAATACCCTGTATAATTAGTATTAATGGAGAAAATGTATCACTGAAATCTACATATATATAGATGCTTAAATTAGATATGTGTTGCAATTTTGTTTTATGAAGCAATGTAGATCCCCAGGAGGGAAGAATGTTGTTGTCAAGTAAATGAATTATTACAAAGTATAGATCTAAGTTAGAGTATTCTACTGTCCTCTTTAGTCAGAAGAAATACTAAAGCTCAGCGATTCAACTTAGGACCAGAAATCTCACGGCCACAAGTTCTATACTTAAAAGTACCCTGGTAGTAATGGGCTGATGATTGATTATAATCGAAAGTCGATCGGTTTGCCCTTTCTCTGATTCCGATTATTGATTACAAATTCCATAATCGATATAATCGGTTCATCATTGAAATCAAAGTATTTAAATGTCTTCCAAGTAAAGTATGCTTTCAAAGTCATGTATTCTATGATTTATATTATATGATAAAATAACAAAAAATAAATGTTGCTTGATATCCATTAATTATAAAAGAACGAAACCTGATGTATAGTGAACAACTCTGTCTATTGATGTTGTGGTAGTGTATAGTTAACAACTCTGTCTATTGATGTTGTGGTAGTGTATAGTGAACAACTCTGTCTATTGATGTTGTGGTAGTGTATAGTGAACAACTCTGTCTATTGATATTGTGGTAGTGTATAGTGAACAACTCTATCTATTGATGTAACAGTAGTGTATGGTGAACAACTCTGTCTATTGATGTAACAGTAGTGTATAGTTAACAACTCTGTTTATTGATGTAACAGTAGTATATAGTGAACAACTCTGTCTATTGATGTAACAGTAGTGTTTAGTTAACAACTCTGTCTATTGATGTAACAGTAGTATATAGTGAACAACTCTGTCTATTGATGTAACAGCAGTGTATAGTTAACAACTCTGTCTATTGATGTAACAGTAGTGCATAGTTAACAACTCTGTCTATTGATGTAACAGTAGTATATAGTGAACAGCTCTGTCTATTGATGTAACAGTAGTGTATAGTTAACAACTCTGTCTATTGATGTAATAGTAGTGTATAGTGAACAACTCTGTCTATTGATGTAACAGCAGTGTATAGTTAACAACTCTGTCTATTGATGTAACAGTAGTGCATAGTTAACAACTCTGTCTATTGATGTAACAGTAGTGTATAGTTAACAACTCTGTCTATTGATGTAACAGTAATGTGCTCACTTTATTTGGGTATTCAGTCCCATAGAATTATAAACCGATCATGTAATTGATCGGTTTACTATACTTCTGATTACAAACCGATTATCGATTATGATTTTAAACTGAATGCCCATCACTCCTTAAAAGCAGCATTCAAACTCTACAACATTAGCTTTTTCTTCAGCTTTAGCAATTTCAATATTGTAATTCAATTGTAGTCCTATTTGCATTTATTGACTTGTGTGTTCTATTTTCTTTCTCCAAAGTAACGTGAAGTCAGAGTGTGATGTCTGTGCATCACTTGTTAATGGGATGAATTGAAACAGGGAAGTGTTAAATAATATACAAAATATAGAATATTTGTAAACAGTTTTACAGAATTTATCGGTAAGGACTAGAAAACTATATATATATATTGATACAAGCATTTCAGTAAAATGTTTCGTGTGAAATTGTCACTTGAACCCCTAATTTCACTTTTTGGGAACTGTTTCCTGCTCTGCCGATGTGTGATGTGGCGTAAATACAGAGAAGATATCGTATATAAGGGTCACTTTATATATATATATCCCTCGTCATTTCTAGCTTTGTTTTTCATTGTATCTATACCCAGAAATTCACGAAAGATGTTTATGAATCATACCATCTGATGATGGTGGGCTAAGAAGTAAGAAGATATACAACTGTAGTTAAATCAAGACAACAACTAGGCCAAATAAAAAACATATTGTGTTTCCAATAACCCTACCTACCCTAGATTTGTATGCCTACCCTAAAGTTCTTATTGGCATTCAGTGATAAACACTGTTAAAGTCAGAACTCCTGCTCAATAAAAGCAAAAATGTTTTCCAAATTAAAAAAACAAGAGGCCCAGAGGGCCTGTATCGCTCACCTGAATATGTTTAAAATAATTGGTATTAAGTAAAGATATAGCACTCCATGGTAGCTAGGTACTGTAAGTACATATGAAATTTCAGAAAGATCCATCCAGTACTTGAGATATAACAAATTTCAAACAGAGCCCCACCCCTATGCCCCTAGGGGGGTCATACCCACCGTTTATACAAAATTGAGTCCCCTTGGCCAAAAGATGCTCCAGACTTAATAAGGATAAAATCCCTTAATCATGATGGTCGAAGAAGAATTTTAAAGGTTTTACCTCTATTTCTCCTATTGGGCCCCGCCCTTCTACCCCCTGGGAGCCCACACCCACTGCTTATACAAAATTGAGTCCCCTTGGCACAAGGATGCTTCAGACTAAATAAGGACAAAATCCCTTAATCACTACGGTAGGAGATGGATTTTGAAGGTTTTACCTATTTCCCCTATTCGGCCCCGCCCATCTGCCCCAAGGGGCGCCACACCCACCATTTATAAAAAATTGAGTTCCCTTGGCCCAAGGATGCTTCAGACTAAATTAGGACAAAATCCCTTAATCATTCCTTTTAGTTCTTAAGAACAAATCCATTAAAATGTTGTTGACCTCTGTGACCTTGAAAGTCAAGGTCAAGGTCACTTTCATTCGCAAACTTTGTTGGGCTCTTTCCCAGGAAATAACCAGCCGAATATTAAGGTTCTATAACTTCCAGTTCAGAAGAAGTCAGTTGAACTGTTTGACATATCTGCCTCATGTGACCTTAAAAGTAGGTAAAGGTCATTTTCATTCTCAAACTTTGTTGGGCTCTTTCCTAGGAAGCTACAAGCCAAATATAAAGATTCTATACCTTTCAGTTGTTCAGAAGAAGTCGTTTGAAGTGTCTGATACATTTGACCCCTGTGACCTTGAAAGAAGGTCAAGGTCATTTTCTTCCTCAAACTTTGTTGGGCTCTATCCAAGGAAGCCATCAATCAAATATAAAGATTCTATACCTCTCAATTCTTTAGAAGAATTAATTTGAAGCTTTTGACACATTTGACCCCTGTGACCTTGAAAGTAGAACAAGGTAATTTTCATTCTCAAACTTTGTTGGGCTCCATCCCAGGAACCAATCAGCCAAATATGAAGATTCTATACCTTTTAGTTCTTCAGAAGAAGTTGTTTGAAGTTTTTGACATATTTGACCCCTGTGACCTTGAAAGTAGGTCAAACCAATTTTCTTCCTCAAACTTTGTTGTGCTTCTATACCTTTCAGTTCTTCAGAAGAAGTTGTTTGAAGTGTTTGACACATTTGACCCCTGTGACCTTGAAAGTAGGTAATTTTCATTCTCAAACTTTGTTAAGCTCCATCCCAGGAAGCCTTCAGCGAAATATGAAGATTCTATACCTTTTAGATCTTCAAAAGAAGTCGTTTGAAGTTTTGACATATTTGACGCCTGTGACCTTTACAGTAGGTCAAGGTCATTTTCGTTCTCAAACTTTGTAGGGCTCCTACCAACAAAGCTTTCAGCCAAATATCATGACTCTAGGCCTATCCGTTCTTCAGAAGAAGTTGTTTAAAGGAAAAGTTGACGGACGAGGATGGACGGACGACGGACGACGGACGCCGCACCACGACATAAGCTCACTTGCCCTTCGGGCAGGTGAGCTAATAATTGCCTACCTCCCTATACCATATTTTTTTTCTGCGGATGATAGCAGAAACACAAGTAATTTGTTTTGACCCTATTTACCTTGACTTTCCTAGGTCCCTCCCCTGTGGACCCTCTCTGTTTCTTTGGTGTTAGCATGTTGAACACTCGCTCCAGACTTCCAAACACGGAGCCCTTTCTGGTCTTTGTCGCCGAGCCAGGCGTTTCATGTTCCCCTCGCTGCAAACCTTCGTCCACCGACGCGGCCCTGTTATAGTTATCCACATGTCTAAAATATCACAACAAACACTTCACAAACTCTCAGTCACGCCTTGGTTGGGTCCTTTACACTTTAAGCAAAAGCCAAGCAGTGCGCTCTGATTGTAGTTGTATAGGTATGTGTTTCTCACCGTTACCACTCTACGTAAGCTGCAACCTTTAGCTAATCTGTCTTTGCGTATTGCAGAGTTATCTTCTCTTTCTGAGCAGGTATTGATTGTTACATCATTGGTTTGTGTGAGAAAATTACGTCGTTTTCTCAAAAATTTGATGACGTTACTCTCACAAACAAATGACGTAACCCAATCAATACTTGCTCATAAGAGAAGATAACTATCTGCAATACGCAACGACGGAAAATACAAGACAACACTTTACAACATTTAGTTTTCCGTATATACTGTATACACTAAAATCTTGATAATAGGCCACAGCTTAGTATTATTTTCAGGAAGGAATCACAAGCTTCTTTTCAAAACTAGTGTTATTTTCAAAGTCATTTAGACAATAAGCGATCAATGGCTTATTTTCAAGTCTCTCCTTTTTTGCATGGAAAAATATGTTATACAGGTTTTTAATAAAACTATTCTTTTATCAAATTGTTGCAATAATAAATAATATACGTGTAATGTAACTGTTTAGGTCGACAACAAAATGTGGCTCGTACCTTGAATCCTATGTGTTTTTCAAAGCCGGCCTATTATCAATGACTGCTTATTTTCTAGCTACGTTTGACTGCAAGGAAAATCCTAGGCTTATTTTCAAAGCCATCTTATTTTCAAATCAGGCTCATTATCAGGATTGTAGGGTATGTATATGGGCATAACCCTTTATTCCCCCAAACCCGTTTCCTCTCTTCAGTACATATTCTACTAATCATTTGGAAGAAGTTAATTAGAGCAACATTCTTCTGTGAGTCTGTGCGATTTTTACCGTAAGTGTTAGATATATAGTACAAATATGTTATTAGGGAATCGTATCAAAATGAAGCCAGTAGATAGGTGTGTCATGAATAGGCTTGGCAACAAATATATTATAAGTAGATATAATTACATGCCATGAGATTTTAGACAGAATGTAATGTGTGTACACATAGTTAAGGGGAAGCAATACTACTTCGCTGTTGTATTTTTTACCCTCTCTCAGTTGTTATTTAAAAAAGAGTCTTGAGGAATAACCTTGATCTTAATTATGTATACAGTACTATATTTGAAATGCATTTTTTTTTTCATTTCATATTTATTTTGTGTTCCTGTAATTTTAGCATTAATATTTAAAATGCCAAAAAAATATTTTTTTGGGGTATTTATTTTGTGAAGTAATAATAAAATGAGACAGAAAATGCTGTTCAAATTGCGCCGTGTAATTTTTGCATTCATATGATATTTGTGGCTTAGAGAGATATAGATATGTGTGTGCCATGCAGTTTTCAATTTTGGTATTTATATAAAGTTTGTAGCTAAGAAACTGTAAGCTGTTACAGATAATTTCGTTAATCTAATTAACTGGGTTTCATTTACGCCTTAGAACCCTTATTTAAAACATGGGAATTTTATTTTCACTTTTTTTAAAAGTATTATTTGTCTTCCATTAAATATTGCATCTCTCATTTATATTTATTTTTTCATATATTTACCCCTCCCCTCCAACTTTAAGAACTGAAGAAGAACATTAACTGCAATGATAATTTCCAATTCAAAGAATTTGGGAATGAAAATTCTGAAAAGCCTTGCCAATGGTGTTTTAAAATCACCAGAATCTTCTCTGATCTTTATACAGTAGCATTATTTTCAGATTGAAGAAACAAAGAAATTTAGAAATTGTCATAAACATTGTCAATGGTTTAAAATAACATTTGGAGACATATATACTGAAGCCTAGCCTGTTATACAAACTATATAGCTATTGAATGTGGAGAAGATTTCACAATATATATATTGAAACCAAACATTTAATACCTGTGTTTCTGGTTGCCTACAAGAGTCCAGTGTACCTGTTTCAGTCACCTGTTATTCAATGGTGCAATGTTTTCAATGTACAGTGAAACCCCACTTACTCGAACTTGCATTACACGAATAACCCCTATTCCTCAAATAGTTCGCTTGGTCCTGTGTTCTCATATGCTCTTTGAAAATTAACCTCAGATTACTCGAACTGCAGCTATTCCATGAATTTGAGAGTAGTGGGCTATTTTTAGAAATTTGTAGTCAATATCAAATTTAAGAGGAGCCATTCTAAGTAAAATAGAAAGAAAATTGGAACATGGAGGGGTCAGTTTCAGTTTTGAGGGGTCAATGGCCCCCTCCAGGATTATCCCTGTAGCCATGTGCCAACGACATGTCTCGAGACACAGACTGCTGTCCACGCTCATTCTGCTTACACAGGTGTCAGTCTGACGTCAAATAATCAGAGGATCAACGGCTGTATCATTAAGTAACTGTAAATTTACCCTGTTATAGGCTAAGGTAGCTACTAGCTGCATTATAATTTTATGTGCATATTTACATCTATTATTTCCAGATGATGTTTTGACATCGACGATTTGGTGGAAGTGTTAATTCATATGGTTGAGTTCATGTTAAACCATATTTCGTCATGGCAATATTAAGTGGAAATTCCCATAGCGGATTCCCGTTCATCTTTAAAGATTTTCAAACTTGAATGCATCATGATTGTTAATTTCGGCATCAATCAATATTAGTTAATTTCGGTATCAATCATTATTATTATAACAGGTGTTCAGGATTTCCTTATTAGATATAATTGAAGAGTTCCTCTTGTTTTGATATTTTGTAAAACTAACATAGCCGAATACAGTATGGCAGACTGTCAAAACAACATGTACATTACACATACTTTTATTTATTTTTTTTACTTCCTTTCTTAATAACGATGGCTATATGTTTTCATTGTTCAGCTATTCTATATATTATTAAATGTTGTCATCTTTATAAATTTTCTTTTTTACTTCTATCATCTACTATCCGCTATATTTGCAGTGCTCGTACTGTCTGTTGCCCCACCTGATAAAAACGATGTCGGATGAACGTCGGATTCGTCAAATACCATGTATTCCTTGAACTATTGATCTGGACCCCACAAGTTCAATGTAGCAGGGTTTTACTGTATTTGACTCTTGTACCCTTGGCAAGCTACATGCTTAATATAATGACCCTTTAAGTTGTTATTTTTTTTTTAAACCTAATGATAAAAGAAACCAACACTACAGCAAAACTTCAAGATACTTCTAGCCAGGTGAGCCAATCATTTAAGATGCATTACAGAAAGGGTGTAATGGATTTGATGGATCTAAAATTAATAGGTGGTACAGTAATACTGCTTTCTGTATATGTAACTGATTTTTTTTTATCAATTGAGACTGGGTTCAACATATCACCTCACACCTCCCCCATATGAATTCTGATTGATATGTCTTGCCTGTGCCTGGCTTTGACCATCAATGCACATATCAGAGAAAATATCTTAAACGCAAAAACTTACTGTTGAACTTACTGTTGATGAATTTCGAAGATGCTGACAAAGTCAATGGACCATGAAAGGTAGGCTGCATCCAGCATTCGATATATATGGGTTGAGATGTACTTCCCAAGTTTGGTTGGTCTAGCACTTACAGTATACGTGTACTTTCAGTGAAACTAAATGTTTAAGAAAAACTTAATGTTGACACCTTGGTCTTGTCACCGCTACGAAGAAACGTTTCCCAAATTGTTCATTTACTTTCAATTACCACAGCCGTGACCAGAAACACAGGTATATTGTTGGTTGAAGTGATAACATACATGTAACCTTGTTATATATACATTGTACGATACCAATGTTAGAACTTACGTATTGTAACAATGCAATTGTGCTGCTTTTGTACAGACTAAACATTGTCAGCTTTATCATCATGGTAATACAGCGTTAATTTCACACAGTCTTACTTTTTGCTGGCGCTTAGAGGCTCATCCTTGGTCAGGTTGTTGAGTTGTGAATCATAGGACCGAGAGGGAGAGAGTGTTGAGTTCAGGTAGGAAAAATCAGATTTTCTTCCAGGTGTACACACTGAAAAAGAGACAACTTCAACTAATTCCAGTACACAATGTTCCACTATCTCATGAAGTACTTGCATACAAAATGGCAATGGTAAATAAGAGAAAATTTTATATATGGCCTGGAAATTTTGAAAAATGGACTGATCGATTGACAGATGAAAATGCAAAAGCATATAAGTCCCCTTATATTAATTATAAGTAGAACTAATAGGGAAGAAAAAAAAGCAATTGCATTTTTTTTTCTTTCTTAGAAAATATGAAATAACGTATGAGTGAATTACAGGAATCGTCTATAGTTGTGGGGAGTTGTTTGGCCATCAGTGGGGACCGAGGTTTAGGGGGAGGCTCGAGGATCATCTCCTTAGGTGTCTTTATCACAGACTTCGGCTTGGGTGTCCTGTAGCTTGGAGTTTGAGGCACGAGAAAGTTTTTCTTATCCTCCATTGGAGAATTTTCCTTGTCGTCGTCCTTTGACCCAAACACGAGGCGTTCTCGAGCACGTGGGCGCCCCCTCTCTTCACAGCCGTAAGGTGTTGGTCTAGGACCGAGATCACAGTTTTGTTGTTGAGATTGCGTTTCTTTTGGGGTCAGGGCCATCCGTGGTGATGCCTGAATGTGTCCTGTGGGATCGGCACTCAAACTCCTAGCCTTTAAACATGAAAAGGTCAAAAGGTCAAATGTTAAAAATACTCTATAACATTAAACCTGTCTGTGTTCTCTTTTTCACAGTTCCCCATTTTCAAACAATTTCTTGGTACTTAAGACCAAAAAAAATATGTTTGTATCTCAACTAACCCTTTTTTTTTGGACAATGTTATGGAAGGAAAACTTCCCCTTTTATAGACATCTAAGTTGGTTGGGCTTACTCTGTTAGACAATATGGCCCTTACAGAATTTTAAGGCCAATGTACAAGTTCTTTTCCATGTCCAAGTATTTGAAGAAGTAGCAGAAACTGTCTACTTTTAATGCTCAGATTATTGTTATATAGCAAAGTAGAAAATTACCACAACAGATTTCAAATAATCAATTTACTTTTAATACCTTTGTATGTCAACACCATCCAAAATTTGAAACAGTCGGATCTTCCAAAAAAATCCCTGAAAAGTACTTGTATATATGTTTGATATATTCCAGCACATTTTAAGAAATATCAAGCGAATTCCAGAACTTTTCCAGGACACATCTCTTTCCTAGAACTTTTCGAGCAATGATCTCAATATAAGCATTTATCATAAAGCCAATGTGAAGTAGAGATATGTACCCAATAAAACACCTCTGGAGAAAGAGATTATGCTGTTGCACTTAATGATGAAATAATTTACCATATTGAACACTTACTCTATTGCTTCTGGGTGTGTCCTCATGTGAATTGGACCTATTCTTCTGGAAGAGGCGGACTGGCCGACCCTTCAGTTTCTTCTCAAACAGGAGGAAGTAAGTAGCAGTCAGGTAGTCATACTTCCACTAAAACATCAAGAGTTTATTCAATCTTTTACAATGTGGACAGGAAAAATAAAGAGTAAGGCAAAAGTCTATTCCATATGGGATTCTAGGAAAACTACCTCAGAGTTCACCATAAGGCCATAATAAATTATTTGCTAGATTCTCATCCCCGCCCGCCCCCTGTTTGAGGCCCCGCCCCAATTTTTTTTATTTGCGAAAAAAAACACGAAAATACGAAATCCAGATTTTTTTCTCCGTTTTCCGCTTCAAAAATTAGTTTTATATTATCAATTTCCGGTTGTAGAAAACTCGTCATCTGCAAGTATGGTTTTTGTAATTCTAAAGCTGAAACGGCAACTTGCCGTTCTTAAAGATTGGTATGGGTGTCCAGTAGCCGATACTAAAACATGAATTCAGGTCTTTCATGAATTAGCCGAAGGAACAATTGACAAATCTGCGCCCATGGAGTGTGGTAACAGGGCCGTTGTGTCGGCCGGTAAATCGAAAGTGGAACTGACCCAGTGTGATATCGCATTTACGGTGGGGGAAGTGGTGTTGTACCTCGGAGCTTATTTAAAATTTAATATTGATGCTGATACAGAAGAGCAGTCGGCAACTGCCAGTGCGAAATCCGACGCATTTACAATTTTAATGTCGGGATTTTCTAAAGCAACAATGGCAAGGTCACTGTAATTTAAAGAGGACGATTTTTGGAAAAGTAATGTGGTGTGTATTCATACCAAAAGTTAGTACAGATATATATGTGGACTGAACAGTGAAATGGTGTTCAATGTGTATACTGCATACTCAAAGTTGTTATTAACAAAAAATAAAGATAAATGTACACTGAACATGCGCCTTTATTGCACTTTTTTAACACATTTGCAACCATTTCAAATTTTAGGAAAAATAAAAAATAAAAAATAAAATTCGCCCCCCCACCCCAATTTTGAAAAGAATTTGGATGAGAATCTAGCAATTAATTTATTATGGCCTAAGGGTTAATCGTAAGTTATAAAATTGGGCATAGATGTGGTAAAAAGAATAAAGTGAGGGGTTTTATGTCAAGGTTTTTCAGTATTCAACTAGAACTTTGTTTTTGTTCAGTTTCCCCTTATTAGCCAATAGACAAACTTCAGTATAAAAAATAAACAAAGGGCAATATATCTCTGTAAATAGTGGGGCACGAGACGTGAATTTAGAATGTGACACTCCTACTTCTCAAGATACATTAAACTGTAGCAAGTTTGGTCAACATGGGTGAAATAACATAAAAGTTATGCTGTGGTCAAACTTCGGTATTAAAAATAAACAAAGGGCCATAACTCTGTATATAATGAAGCACAAGACCTAATTCCAGTGCACTACACACCTTCTGTGGGTGATGCAGGTAAACTTCAAGTTTGATAAGATATCTTTAATGGTTTAAAATTTACAGGCCGGACAAAAAATTCCTGAAAATGTTGCACTTATTTGACCTTTGACCTTGAAGTGAAGGTCACAGTGACCTAATTCCAGTGCACTGCACACCTTCTGTGGGTGATGCATGCATACCTAGAGTTTCATTAAGATATCTTCGACGGTTTGAAAGTTATGACCCGGACAAGTTCTGATTAGAAGAACCAGTACTAATACAATATGTCTCTCTTCATTCGAAGGGGAGACATAATCACTAAGCTTCACCATCAGAATTTAGAAGACAATAGGAAAGAGATTAAACAAATTCGAAATCATGATCGACGTACCTCAGATACTGTGGTCTCCATTTCTTTCTTTGTTTTACCGTAGTGAACAGCCAATTCTGTAATACAGTCATCGTCTAATACTTTTCTCTGGAATACAAATAAATATGTCATTACCCGAGATTCTCAACAGATGGCAGCACTGTGCAATGACAACAATGTGATGTAGCACTCAAATGACAAAAACAAAATGTGAATGCTTGATATCTATCATGCTAATTGTCAAAATGGCAGAGCTAGACAAGAAAACAGTCTAATACCTGTGTTTGATTAATAGAATCTTTCACTCCCTTGGGCTAGATAGGGGGATCTCAACCCGAGGGGGAAGATTCTTATGTTGCCACACACGAGGCTGTGCAGAGTGTTTGGCAACTTAAGAATCTTTCCCCGAGGGTTGAGATTCATCTATCTTGCCCACAAAGGGGTGAATGATTCTTTTTCTCTTACCCTGTTCTCCCAATGTGTATCATATACACAATGTAATGATAACATTACATGCTAAATTCAGGGTTGACGTGACGTTGATGGATTGTTGATGTGACGTCATTGTATTGTTGAAGTGACGTCATACACCATTGTTATGAATAGGGGAATCCCCCCCATCTCAACCCTAGGGTAAGACAAGGAAATCTCACACCAGTAAAAGTGCGGATATACATGTCCAGGGTAAGAGAAGTAGAAATCTCAACCTTCAGGATAGCATATTCCCTTCAGGTTGTTAAATCTTGTGCTACATTACAAAGAGATGGGTGCTATTAGTGACCATACAGAAGTTTGTCAAAGAAAACTTGTGTCATGAAATGATAGCTTGTCTGAAGTTGTACTTTGTATTTACGCTGCCACAAATGAACAGTCAAGGATCGTAGACTTGTGTGTCAGTAATCGATAGCTTGACTCATGTCTTATTTTATTTTCATTCAGTTTCTATGAAATTAACAGCTTTTGACCTAGTCCGCCAAATCTGACCAGAATCACAGGCTCCAAATTTCTGATCAGTCACCTGTTTATGCATACAGGCAACCAATCAGAAATTAGGAGCCTGCGGTTATGGTCAGTTTTAGTGGACTGCTTTTAACAATACAGATTTGTGTGTCGGTACCAGAGATCTTGACAGCGGTCTTACTTTGTATTGACTCTGCTAATAAACCTTATGTGTCCTTACACAAAGCTTGAGAGAGGTTTTATTTCGTTTTTGATCTGCCACTAATTAAATGAACCACTTTTGACCATACTAAATTGTGTGTCTGTACCAGAGACCTTGACAGAGGGCTTACTTTGTATTGACTCTGCCACTAATTAAATGAACCACTTTTGACCATACTGACTTGTGTGTCGGTACCAGAGATGTTGACAGAGGGCTTACTTTGTATTTACTCTGCCACTCCACAGGTATGTTGAAGCTCTTGGTCAGCCAGGGGTGTTTGATGAGCTGCTGTACGGTGATCCTCCTCTTGGGGTCCACTTTCAGCATCATAGCTATCAGGTCCTTACTCTCCTCCGACAGCCAGGTAGGGGACTCATACTTCCCACTCTGTAATACACCAGAGAAATATCAGTTCCTACTATATAACAATAAACTCTTCGAGGCTACAGAATCACACTTCTCCCAGGGATATCCCACACATACATTTGCTTGATTTTTCTATTTCACTCAATCTGTTCTATATATATAATACACAAGAGAATATCACCTCCTACTCTATAATACAATCTCTGAGGCTACAGAATCATACTTCTCCCAAGGATATCCCATTTGATATACCCCATGCTAGATTTTTATATCTCGTTAAGTCTGTAACTCTGTCTGGTATCTTTATGGAACATTTAGCACAAAATTTAACAAAATATATTTATTTGCATGCCAATAAATAAGTTGCATTTAAAATACAGTATTTTGGACTTGAATGTATTTCTTGGATGTTGATAACTAACAATATTAATTATACATAAAACACAACCTACACCGTGAAATGTTTCTTTCCGTAAATCATCATTGACTACATTATTAACAGTCTATGCAATTGAGTGTATCTTGGAGGCCCCATACAAGTTATTTGTTAACTATGGTGAAACTAAATTTTTGTTTTTAAACAGGTGTGAGAAATAAATCTTTCACCAATAACTTAGCGATATCTGGCAATCTAATTAAAATTATATCTTCACATCGCTCCCATTTACTGATATGTCCACGCGACATATCAGTAAACGGGAGCGATGTGAAGATATAAGTTACGCAACATATCAGTAGACGGGAGCGATGTGAAGATACATTTTAATTAGATTGCAATATCTGGTAAACTGATCTCACTAAGATTTTGTAGCATGATTGCAACTGGAATATTACAGATTTCTTAACCCTTGACTGTGATTACCCCCAATCTCGCTTAGTTACACAGTCAACATTAATAATGTGATAAAAATTATACAGGCGTTATCAAATAGACAAAACATCATTCAAAATACAATCCAAAAGATAAACCAATGAGATTTCAAAGAAGCAAAAATCAGGATATATATTGTCATCATGATCATGACATACAACTCCTTTCCTGATGATTCAAATTTAAGATTTCAAAATTACCTGTATTTTCCTGTACAGTTGTGGAATCTTCTCATCATCAAAAGGGAGATAACCGCAGAGAAGTGCATACAACAGGATCCCCATGCTCCAAAGATCAGCCTGTGCAACACAATATTACAGCGGATTTTAATAAGGCAAGTATTCATAAAACATATTTACCATGGTTCGACACCAACACTAGTCCATTAGTCCTGGACTAGCAAAATAAATATGAAGGACTAGCAAATGTTCAATATTTGTTAGTACTGTTGACTAGATATTTTTTCCCACCCTCTCCCTATCAAATAATGATCCATTCCCGGCATTTACCGAGACAATAACAAGTAAAAACAACCAAGGACTAGATGAATAATATAATAACTAGTCATTTAGACTATGTAAGAAAAATAGTTAGTGTCTAAACCTGTTTACCAAACCATGGACTTAATGTTGGGTAGCTGTAGATGAATAGGATTTTTTTTATTCTACTTTGCAAATATTACTTTATCTTGGTTTCAATAACTGTGCTTTGATCTATTGCCTGCTTTGATACTGTACACTTTCTGACATCAACATTTCTTATTATACACATTGATAAAAAAAAAAAAAAATTGATAGGCTGATTAAATTTTAAGAAGTTGAAAAAATATCAAATAAACTTCAATCTGCCTATCAAATTTCAATCAATAATTTTACATAGGTCTTTTTATTGTATCTAGATTGGTTTGTTTAATAAGGCAAAAGAAATCTTAATTTTATATGAAGTTTTGTATTTATTAAAACACAAAAAAACAAAAACAAATCCTGCAGACATAGAAAAGAAAGCACACAAAATCAAAGTACAGCATTAGAGTATTAATCGGTCTTTATTTCTGAAAATCTTCTTTCGAAGCAATATATTTGTTTTTACATCCCCTCATCTTCGCTAGCCAAGTGTTCGTTTCCACTTTATGAATGTGTATACGAAGCAAACACTTGGCTAGCGAAAATAAATGTGTATACGAAGCAAACACTTGGCTAGCGAAGATGAAAGTGTATACGAAGCAAACACTTGGCTAGCGAAGATGAATGTGTATAGGAAGCGAACACTTGGCTAGCGAAGATGAAAGTGTATATGAAGCGAACACTTGGCTAGTGAAGATGAAAGTGTATATGAAGCAAACACTTGGCTAGCGAAAATGATCCCCTTGAAAAAAATTGTTTCAGGAATATCAAATGAATTTCGGCTAAAGCTTTATTTACCGATAATTCCTAAAGTATTCCAGGATTTAACATTTGTCAATTATGGGGTTTAATATTTATATTTATCAATTATGGGGTTTAGCCCATTCACCCCTGAAATTTTATAATGAACTATTCCAACCTTTGAATCGGAAGAGTTCAAATGTGTCTTCAGGGGTGAATGAGTTAATATTTATCAATTCTGGACTTTGGCTGAGATGAATGTTTCATTTCATTCAATATCACTTCCTCAGGTCCATATAACCACATATATTCACCCAAACAAAAGTCCTTGATTGTTATATTATAAGATGCTAAATAATGTTTTAATAATTAAACAAGACAAACGTATGAAAATTGCATGGAGTAAATTATTGTGTCTGGCAAGGAGCATTGTGATGTTACAATTGAATTGACGCTATAAAGTGAATATTGACCTGCTGTTTCTGAAAATAATAAAACTGAGTAAATATCACTATCACAGACTTTTGTGTGGTTATGATCGAACCAATGAGGACGTTGGAAAAAATGTGTGTCATTATATGTACATGTGTTGCGGCATTTTAAACCAAGTCAGGTAGTTTGTAGTTTTGACCAATGATAGCTGTAGAAAATTAAAGGTGCCACAACAGTGTAGTTTTAGGCAATAATAATGTTGCTGACTAATTATATTACTTTGTGGAAACCTCATTTATATAATGTCAGATTTCTCTGACATCTTAATCAAGGACAAAGCTGGAAATGATGTTTTCAAGCTTTCCGATTGATTATTTTATTTATTAGTTGTGTATTCTGTATTTTCATTGGTTTAAGTTTATAGAAATTTGATATTTTTTCAATCAGTGAAAAACAAACATGGTATTTAATAAATTACGAGTGCTTTTAAATTATTGATAAAGATGTAATAGAAGGGTTAGCTCCATCAAACTCGTCCCAATTTAATCGAACAATGGCCAAAATTAGAATATGCAGGAAAAAGTGTTGTCTTGACAACCTACCTCCGATCCTAGGTACTCTTTCCCAGAAACTAGTTCGGGAGCTGCATAAGCTGGACTGCCACAACAGGTGTATAGGTGGTTCTCCATACCTCCCTGTCCAAAACATATAGCTAGTTCGTTTTTACCTGTACAAGCACACTTTGTATTTTATATCACAATCCTGGCTGATTTGTTATTTATCCAGGAAATCATACTGATATCTAAATACATAGTTATCAATTTTTGAAATAATATTCCTTCATTCAATGCACGTCCTAATCACATTTTAACATACATACTCTAAGAGTTCTTATTTTAGCGGTCATAAACAGCATGTTAGTGAAATTTAACAGATTGACACATAGATGAATTGGTCCACTCACAAAATATGCAATAAAGAAACTATATACAGAAATTTCAATTAACGCAGTCATAAGTTAGCGCAATCCATGTTTGAAGTTCAAAAAGCGCTAAAATTATAATACCACTAAAATATGTATGAATCGACAGATACTTCTGGTCAATCCTAAAAACAGGAATGAATGTGTCGTAACACTGTTTAGCAAACCAAGATATATAAGCAAGATCTTGTTCTATACCTTTGGCTTTGCACACAATCCAAAATCAATCAATTTCAGATTTTGATCTTCATCCAAAAGTAAGTTTTCCTGGGGGTAAAAAATACACATTAATTTGTTATACAAGCAAAGAGCTACAGATAGAATATATAATTTTGTATCTTTAAAATATTAACAAGAGATATACAAACGGTATACAAATATGCCTGCAGACATCATGCAAGACTTAAGATTGATATGGTGTTTACATGTATATCTACTAAATCTTATGAGGTAGTGAAAGAAGTTGAGCTTGCAGAATGTATGTGCAAACAATCAATGCAGGCTAGGGTCCATAGCTTGGTGTTAAGAAATATGGAGTGAGTTTTATGAAAATTGGTCGAAACATTTTCTCATCATCAAGTAATGATTTTGTTGTTGTGACCTTAACTTTAGGTGTATATCGATCTTGATCATCAGGCGTAAGATAAATGTCAGGAATAATTATGTAAAGTTTATGAAATTTGGTTGAATATTTTATCAGGAAGTTGTGGACAAGCCAAATGTTGTGTTACCCACGTGCACCCCAGACTCATGAAAAAAATATTTTTACAACATGTTCTGAAGAGAATGAAATATAGATTATAGTACTTATACATTAGTACACTGTCCAGCATGTTTACATTTAGATATGAGTGCTATTATTGCCAAAAGACATGTTACATGCCCGAATACTAACATCAATTGTCCTCTGCTACTGAAACTATTTACCGGTTTTAAATCCCTGTGAGCGTATCCCTGGCTATGAATATATCCAACAGCTGAAACAATCTGACGGAAAAATATACGAGCTTCATCTTCTTCCAGACGATCTTTAGACACTATGTAGTCAAACAGCTCCCCTTCTGGACAGTACTGAAACAACAAAACAGAACTGAAACACCAAACAGATATGCTGTACACCCATTTTAAAATATCACAACAATCATCAAAGTGTAGCCAAATCATTGTGTTGATTTGATCTTTAATTCATGTATGTATATAACAAATAAGTGTACAAACATGTATAGTGTAACTGAATCGACAGTGATTTGATTGTTACAAACTAGTGCAAATTTTACACAATTGAGTATGTATACTGCATTGGTCATTTGCCTGATGGGTGTGACAGAGTATGGATCATACTATAGTCACCAAAATGTCCCATATAAAACATTAACTGATTCAAATTTGATGCAATCCATATCTACCAACCCAAAGGAAATCGTTAAATAGAAAAATCACATAAAGTACTGCGAGATGAATTAATCTGAATATATTTTTAAGTTAAAAACATTAATACCTGATCAGTATGGTAAAACTTTATATTGCTCACTATCTAGAACTCTACTTTCATTTCAATGCTCTTTACCTCCAAGACCATGAAGAATTTTGTATCAGTTTGGTAAAACTTTATATTGCTCACTATCTAGAACTCTACTTTCAAATCAATGCTATTTACCTCCAAGACCATGAAGAACTTTGTATCAGTATGGTAAAACTCTATATTGCTCCCTATCTAGAACTCTACTTTCAAATCAATGCTATTTACCTCCAAGACCATGAAGAATTTTGTATCGGTTTCAATGACTTGGAATAATTTACATATGTGTTGGTGACACAGAACTTTCATGGCTTCGATCTCAGTCTTCACACGAGGTAAATCTTCCTGAAAATACAAAAGTAAATGTGTCAGTAACTGAAATCAGTAACAAAAATGGACTGCAGTAGCAATGATATTAATTTTTTTTCCATAGTTTGCGAAAACTGTGGCTTTTGAATTTAACAAAATTGTGTCATATTTTGAAAAATAGGGACATTTTTCTAACTACACTGAAAATTGAAATTTTACCAAGTATCATCTACATGTAACTCAGACTAAGACATCCTCATTTACAAAAGATTTTTTCATTTTAGAAGAAATTTAGAAGAAAAAATAAATCAATGGGACTCTTTAAAGAGATTTTGGGGAAAAAATCTCTATTTTCTATAGGGAAAAAAAGGTCATTTTTTTCTTTTGATTGACCTTTGCATAAAGTTTGATTACGATCTGTTAAGAAATAAAGACACTACAGTGCTGACCCTGAATCTGACTGCACAGTCACGGGCAACAAATATACGCCTCAAGTCTTTCCCATAAAATGGCAGGGGCATAAAAAAGCAAGAAAATAGAACAACGTTCCTTTTAAATATCACAATCCTGATAAAATTGTATCGCAATAAAAATTTAGTAACACAAAATGTCAGTCTCTCACATTTTCCTAATAAAAACAATTACATTACATAGATATAAATGAAAAACCTGTCTAATCTGACACCCTTTGGGACATATTGGTCAGATTAGAAAAGATGGCGGAATGCACAGGTCTTATGAATTTGTTAGTTTAACTCATTCACCCCTGAAATTTTATAATGATCTATTCCAACCATTGAATTGGAAGCATTCAAATGTGTCTTCAGGGGTGAATGATTTAAGTTATCATTTGGGATTTCGTCATTACCTTAGACAGGATGTCCAAATACTCAGGTGTTCAATTATGGTCTTAATGTTATAAATAGCATTACATGAAAAGTGATGTCTCTTTTACCCCTACAGTTGGACAAAACCCCTGAAAATTCTGCCTTTTCAATGCTAAAGAAAATCTTATAGAGGCATCTGATCTAGAACAATGTATTACAATTTTTTTTATGAATGTCATCCAATTGGCGACTGTTATTTCTTAGATACAATATTCAACTACTTGAAAACCTACCCCAAGGGATTTCTTGTCCATGATCTTGATGGCAACCTTTTCTCCTGTTAAGGCATGATAGGCTAACTTCACTTTGGCAAATCCACCTGTAATATATCAAATGTTCTTCATGTACACACGATGTCTATGATGTCAGAGTTCCAAAACTTTTATATTCCAGAAATAATTGGAACTGTACTAAGAGGATTAGTTTGACCAGATACATAACCTGTTTGTCAATAGATGTTAATATAACGTTCCGAGTCATTGGTTAGTCAAATTGACAAAAGAAGAAAAGGAACCATTATGTTTTCTGAAAAGCATTATGACTCAAATGAAATTTTATAAGAACTTCATGGATTATTTCTCAACATTGTTATATTTTTTAAATATTTGTGTTCTCAAGATAGAAAAACATAAAGTGGATTTTTTTCTAAGAATATTGATTTTGCCAGGTTTCGCCTTGTTCCGGGATTGGAACTTTGCCTTGTTAATATTGGTTTTTAATCAGGAACTTTAATATTTTCCAAAAGAAAATATTGTCCCTTGGGGGTATTTCTCTTCACCTGTAATGCAATATTTACCTGAACCAATGGTTTCCCTTAGGTGGTATAGACCTCGTAGCTCAGAGTAGGATGAAGTCATGGTGAAGTCTGCAGGTACGGCCCCAACTTATACACTATCCAATTTGTCTAAAGAGGAGGAAATTAAAGCAGCTGTTAATGTTATTTCTAACTTAAAATCAAATCCCGGTCTGGCTGTGCAGTTTCTTTTTCCTGTTACAAAACTGGCGACTTGCCAACCCTTGTTTCAAGCACTGGGTGAAAACTTGACAAGGGGATAATACAATATATAATATTTATTCAGGAAAAGGCATACACAACACAATAATATCATATAAGTAGGTAATTTACAAAGTTGAAATAATTACTTTAACCTTATTTAATTTACCTTACCCTAATATAGGATTACCCATCTAAGCTTTACAACATTTATTTCCAATGGGGTCCCCTATAGGTATAAATATATTATAAATTTATTGTAATAAAAATGCATGTACATCACATCTTCAGATGTAGTGAAAATGATTAGATATATATATGACATAGCAAAACTTAATTAATAAATACAAGGCAAGGTTATATTATAGCCATCATTAGAAATACACAAATTCATTTTTTAAACTGTTTTTTCATCCCTTTTAGATAGTGTTGTTTGACTTAAATTTTGAATTTCCTTATATAATTGACTTGCTTAATGTAATCAGGAACATTATTCCAGTCTTTTGATGCACAATGGAAGAAAGTTGGGAATCTTGCCCTTTTGCAAACCCTTGTTTCAAGTACTGGATGAATGCTTGGCAAGGGGATACTTGAACTGTGGTTGTACTAACTACTGTGTCTTCAGGAGCTAAGACTTACAAAAAAAGGGGGGGGGGGGGACTGTAGCGGAACTTGACTGTCAGTTTGACTGAGTTTAGAGGGTCCCGGGTTCGAATCTTGGTCTAGCCATGCATTTTTCTGCTCCTTTTACATTTGTATTGGAGACATAATGCCATTTTTAAACACTGATAAAAAGGTCAACCAAGAAAAGTGTCTATCCGTTTGGATTCATTGACTAATTGGTGAATACATCATAAACGTTTCAAGGATAATGCTCCACTGATTTCAGTAGATATTTTAAAATCATACATGTTCATAATTTGAAATCCCATTTTAAAAACTGAAACACGATACATTGATATCGGTCTGTTATTTTGGATACACATACATGTACAGCTGACCTACATGTGAGTGCCCTATGGATACCAGTAGCAGTGAATCTCAATCACACGAACAGATAATTAACCAATCAATAAAAATACGATAGTGTAGTTGTGTGACACAGCCAATATTTATTGGTAAACATACGCCTCGGGCAGATTGTCAACAATTTCCCGCCCACTTTTTACGAACTAAATCTGGTAGCCTGGCGATATTCAGAGCCATGTCATTAAATATGCATGATACCATATGCATCACGTTTATCGTACCATAGTTATACATGAAAACTATTCCAATATCATGGAATTTAAAAATACATCATGCCGATTGGGAAATCAACATGGTTCTATCATAGATGATAGACCTATAGACTCGGGTTTTGAATATGTGAATATGGCTACAATCTACACCTGTCGGTCTCATTAGGGCGCTGAAGGTAAACATTGCCTTAACTCAACAATTATATAGATATAAATATGTAAATATTATAACATGTATATACCTGGAATCAATGTTACTTCCACAATCTTCTTATTGACATAATATAAATGGAATATATTATGGTTCCTTTCTAACCGGAAGTCTTCATTCAAGCACCTGCAATATTTGTTTGAAACTCGCTCACTTTTCTCGAGTAACCAATCAAACCCTTTCTACTATTCCTACAGAGTTATCGTTCTTTGGTATGGATATCCTGTGTAGACTCGCAGAAGCCCACACTTTTAAGAAAGCGTGACTCAAATGTAATGCTTACGATATGTAGAGGCAGAAAACGGTGCATTTGGGAACGATATAAATCTTACACATTCACTTTTCACGCCTTGTATTTGGTCAATTTAATTTTGTCAATTTCAGTATATGCCTCTGCTCCGTCTAGGCCTACTAGAAATATAGATCATGTATATATTTTATTTTGGCAGACTCAAAGAATTTAATAATTAAACATTAAATGAATGCGAGTGTGCTTTTAATAGTTTAATTTTTGATAAACTGACCTTCGATTTCCTGATAAATTAACCTTAAATGTCAAAAATAAGTTTTAAAAAATGTTTATAACTTAGAATTAAATCCTTAAAACAGATGAAATATTAATGGAGATGAATCGTTTCAAATGCGAGGTTTATACCTTTTCTTAATTAATATTTTGGGAAAATAAAATGCGCGGGATGGGTAAGTATTAAATAATTTACAAAATGATCCAATTTTAGCGAGCAGGCGTTACCTCGCTTCGACTACATGTTTAACTTATCTTGAGTATTTACTGGACACGAGAAGTCCTAGCGCGGGTAAATATTAATTCACCTATCCTACAATGAAATCGAAATCTCACGTTTCCTCTCATATAAGTTATATATGGCCATTATTGCATGAAAATGTAACCATTAATATTCAGAAAACATCGATATCAGCCGACGATTGTCATGGCTGTCTCGGTTGTTAACGTCATCGTTATCATAACGTCATCATCATCATAACGTCATCATCATCATAACGTCATCGTTATCATAACGTCATTATTATCATAACGTCATCGTCATCATAACGTCATCGTTATCATAACATCGTTATCATAGCATCGTTATCATAACATCGTTATCATAACGTCATCGTTATCATAACGTCATCATTATCATAACGTCATCGTTATCATAACATCATCGTTATCATAACATCGATATCATAACGTCATCATTATCATAACGTCATCGTTATCATAACGTCATGGTTATCATAACGTCATGGTTATCATAACGTCATCTATGCTTTTTAGCACACTTCTTTATGTGCGTTCGGCAGCGAGAACGTCTGCCAGCGTTTTGACAGTTTTTCTAAACAAGTTTGGATTGGTTTGGCTTTAAAGGGTTTAACATCCTTTTAACAGCTAAGGACATTTAGGGACGTGCCTCCATTTGTGTAATGCTGAACATATTTAAGCAGGGGATAACAATTTCCATTTTTTTAAGGACGTTGTCCTTGTATAGTCACGCTGTGGAGTTTGTCCTTGTATAGTCACGCTGTGGAGTTTGTCCTTGTATAGTCACGCTGTGGAGTTTGTCCTTGTATAGTCACACTGTAGAGATGTCAAGTTCAAAACGTTATCCAACAGACAATGTCTCATTTCACACCTTTGACATACCTATCTCATGTTTTACCCAGAGACATTTCTGTCTCAGTTTGGAGTGGTATATATATTTATCAGCTTTTGTACAGATACCAATACATTGGTATTTTGATACTGTGCAAATGTGAGAAAAATAATCTGTCCCGGCCTGGGGACAGAGCTATTTGCCTTTCTCAATAGTGAGGCATTGCCAAGAGAGGCGCTCGGAAACATTAATGCCTCCCTCTTGAAGTGTTCGGTTAATACAGAATGTTAAAACGTGTACCAGCAAAACGCACGCGAACGGTTCTGCTACAGAACAATCTTTATTCAAAGATGTCTGTTTCATTAGTTAAAAATTCGTACACGATACCAACATTGTATTTTATTTGCGCAGATTTTGTTCATAAACAAATGTTCGTTATAAATAAACTTTACTTATTTTACAACAATTATGAAACAAGTTATTCCAACTTATATTTAGCACTCTTGTTGGTGCACAGGGGGTCCTAATGCGAGAGGAAACAGGAGTACCCGGAGAAACCCCACGTGATACCTTTTCAAGTCTGATGGGGGTAGGCCTATCGAACCCCGGCGGTCTTGGTATAAATGGCGAGTGCATGCGTTATCTACTGTGCCAATTGACAAGCGTTTCTATGATATCAATATATTTGAAAAATGGTGATATAGTAATTTTACTTCTTTCAGATGGAATAAAAAGCCAACTTGAAATGAGTGCAAACCCCGTGGAAACATACAAATTCAAAAATGAATGAAGCACTAACGAAATTCACGGAATTTTGTCGACGTTCACATTGTCCACTGGAATATAGTTAGTTATGTTTGATTTTCCTTTGTCCAGTTGGAATTCATATTGCCTATGAATGACAATTGAAAGCAGTTCAATACTTATTTTTATCATTTTTGGAATTTGTTCATCTCATAAAAAATTCGATTACCATTATTATTATTCAGCATTTAGTTCAAATAACGTATGTAACGTGTACGCTTGTTCAATGAATAGAACAGCCATCGCCCAGGGAGTATGCAACGAAACAATTATGACGTCATAATAATGATGACGTCAACAATCGGTCCATGGCATTCATAGCCTATATGAATGCCAACTGAATTTCGTAGGGTTATATAGTGGCAATGCCATTCTATGGTAAATATTGCGTGGTAATGTCACACATACAACGAGTAACACGGCCCGACTGTTGACATTATCATTGTTGTGACGTCACAATGGTAACGCTGGATACCACTTTTTCTTGAAGAAACCTTAGTTGTATATTATTGAACAAGGAAAAGAAACTGAAGTTTATTTTAAACATATTTATTTGCCAAAAATAATGACTAGATGCATGGGCAAATGCATATCAACATGATGAACGCAGTGTCATCCCGGCAATATTTACATCTTATCACAAATATTGGAAAAATTAGAGAGTAATATAATAAGTTGTATAAAAAAAACAATTAAAACAAAGAACAAAGAGTAAAGAAATTAAAATTCAGAAAGACAAATGTGTTTACGAAACAGAACAAAACGAACCGACGCGAAATGAGCAGATGATGTATTTCATCTCGTTCAGTTTTGTTTCGGTTTCGTTTCATCATGGTTTTATCTTAAAATAAATCAAAAGAGAGTTACAAACAGAAGATGTTATGGCTTCCAATTCAGATCTTAGCCTTTCTCGTATTCTACTGCGATATTGCGAAAAAATGACTCAGTTATCTGTTGCTTCGGCAAAGCAATAAAAACAACTAAATTGTGCTTTCGTCCAAGCCTGTCTCCAACGTCTACTAATTTTGAAATGGAAATGAAAAAATAAAAATAGAAATTGGGAATTATTTTATGGGTTTTGTCTTTGGTAAACGACGAAATAACTCCTTAGGTACTAAGACGAATAAAAACAGAGAAACTATAGAAAACTGACAACTTAAAGCATGGTGCCAAAAGTGTTCGCGATTTAACCGGATTAACTATATTTCATGCATGTCTTTCGTTTTCCACTGAATCTTCCTGAATAACCATGTTTCTAACTTTAAATCCGGATATTTCGTCAGAAACCACCCCTTGATTATCATTATTGGAGACATGATATGTAACATAAAAAAATAAGGACTTTTGTCTTGATCGATACGTCTTTACATGAACCTGAGTAATATCGATCTCGGGCTTCGTCCTCGGTTGATATCACTCTATCAGGTTCATATAACAACGCAGTGACCTCGACAAAAGTCCATAATTGATGAATACACATATGTGTACTCATATACTAATTAACTACACGGACATAAGCTTTATATTTTGCGTGCTTTTGAATTTGTAAACAAAATGCGTCATGCAAGATCGCAGTTCATGAAGTTCTACAAGGAGGTATCATTATAAACACGCCGAGATGTATCGTTCTCGGGTGGCGTTGAAGGTTGCACCGCAGCTAAAAATAAACAAAAGCATAAGTTCTATTTTTAAAACTGTCTAAATTGATGAACGCTTTTCGACTAAATCGTAGAAGTATTTACCATATTTGATAATCCTGTATTTATCAAATTAATGTATATATAGAGAGGGCGAAATTCTCGGTTTCTTAATGAAGAACAGTTATAGTTCACGAGTGAGGTGACTATTTTAAATTTTTCACAAGGTCGTCTCTGACGTCACAAATGATAAATACCCATTGTTATTTTTCACACTTATCCCTGTCCCCTGGTTGAAGAATTGTGAAAATAACATCAAGTGTGATTAGTCAAGGTGTAAAGAAATTTAAAATCACTTTATGTTTCAATGTAAAACCTTATATTTTACTGATAAAAATGTAATATAAACATGATTTATTCCCTCTGGGTATCGATGTACCATTGGTAGTTATAACAAAAAACAGTAAGGTGACAATCGAAAACTGATTTATAACATGCTCAGATGATTTTTGTCGAGGGTACAGATAGAAATTGTTAAAACTGGGTTACTCTTCTCATCCTAAATCTTTATCTTATGTCTTTATCTTATGTCTTTATCTTCTGTCTTTGATTTATCTTATCGCTCTCCCAACTCCCTCATAATCTTACAATCTCTCAACCAATCCGCCCCACTAAACTTATCAGCATATATACCGTATGTTTGAACCTTTTACCATTACGTATAAATTGTAGGCGAAAAGGCTTTTATTTTAAGGTTTAAGCCGAATCCCATTTCTTTTCAGCGACATGATATATTTCAAATTGTTTTTTTTTTTTTTTTCAAAAAACCAAGATTTTTTTACTAACATATCTTTAATTACCTGTGGGTGGGTTTTTTCGTTGACGACAACAAAGCACAGTGACGATAGTGAGTGAAATTGACAGCACAAGGATTAGTACACCGAGAGTGACCGAAACTGGAATCGCCCATGAACCTGCGCATACAAAACACATTCTTGTACATAAAATGTAAAAACAAAAAATTGAGACCAATAGGCATAAAGTTGAAAAAAAAATCAATCAAAAATGTTCTTAGTATAAATGATAAAAGAATATTTTTATTCTAAACATTTTAATTTTGGGACGGGATAATCTTGTAAATGTTCTTGATAAGTTATTTTTATATGCTTTGGGGCCGTGCGTCATACGACAGATACAGATACGAATTTCGTTTTTAAACTAGTTTAACCGAAAAGAGTATATTTAGTATCACCGAGTTCAATTTAAAACGAAGAGTTGCTGCATTGGTCCGAAAAATGGAATACCTGGTGTTGGCTGTTCAGCGGGAGTAGATCTAGATCTAGTTGGTGATACTATTTCTGAAATGTATAAACACCAGCACTTATTAATATTATATGTATGCGTCAGACGGTTCACATATAATATTTTTAAACATTTTAAAATCAACCCCGTCTTCTTGATGTCAAATGTAAACACGACAAGATTAGCAGACGAGCTTGTGTGTACATAATGTTTGTGACCTCATAAAAGTAGTTATTCTTCCGGGTCACATCGGTGACGTCAGGTTTATTGTGGAGAACGTGCAAAGAGAACGTATAGCTTGTCTCAACCTTAGAGTGAAACAGGGAAATCTCATACCGGTAAAAGTAAAGATAAATCTGTCCGGGGAAAGAGAAAAAATGACGTCACCATACTACAGCGTAAATTAGTGCTTAAATGTTTGGAATCAATTATTGTTTGAATTCAACAATTTGATCAGTGAAAACAAGTAATAAATTTTCGGAGAAAAAAGAGTTCGGATGCAAGGGTAAACAAACCTGGCTTGATCACAGGTGCTAGCCTCGTCTGTCAATAAACTTATACTATAATAGGTGTACTGACAGACGAGTCTAGTACCTGTGGCGTGATCATTAGGGTAAAAATACAATAGCATAGAGTCCTATCTGTACGAGTTCCTGAGGTGAAACACAATCTTGAACATTTATTATCAAATAAACGATAACACATATACCGACCCGAAGTGTCATACAATGTATGTGTTACTCACAACTGGGCCTCTTAGGCCTACGTCACTGTTGTGAACTATCTAAAATTTTATCAGATTGTTATGACATATCTATTGTATGACTGTCTCTTAAAACAAATAAGAGGATTAATTATCCATGACTACTGAAAGTGATGTGAATAGTATCAAATATTTCAAACTAATGTGAATCAGGATGCAACAATGCTGAAAACGAAAAAAAACAAAAGTCGATGTGGTCATATCCACAGTGGCTGTGAAAAATTATTAGAATATGAAACCCTGTTTCAGATTGCTGTAATGTTAGCCACAAACTCAGTATCGTGGAAAAACATCATGCAATTGGTGGGACGCTAACCCCACACATACACAATGAATCTGACGAGAATCTCCCTCCCCTTTCTTACACACACACAATGTTGGGAATCTCCCCGCTACATACACCCTACACACACAATGTTAAAACTCTCCTCGTCCCCACAATCGCACAATGATGGGAACCCCACTCCCACACGATGATTGGAACACCACCACCCAATCCTCCTCCAACACACGCACACAAACAATGATGGGAATATTCCCCCTACACCCCTACACACAATGATGGGAACCCACTCCCACACGATGATTGGAACACCACCACCCCATCCCCTTCCAACATACGCACACAAACAATGATGGGGAAAAAACCCTACACCCCTACACACAATGAAGAGACACCCCTTGCCCCTTTCTTCCGCCCATCTCTTCGCCCCCTCCCACACGCACACACAATGATGAGAACCCCACCCCACACAATGATTGGAAACCCCAATTTCCAGCCCCACCCGTAATAGTATCATCATTTCACCAAATACTAACCTATTGGATGACATGTCTGTAAACACTGGCTTGGTGGGACCTGTCTGTTACAAACATCTTCGTTACACCTCTCACAGACTGCGGGCTCGGAGATATCATCACAATAATGAACCCCTTTTGTACAAATGTCTATGCCACACCTCCAAGTGAAACGGTTTTCTGTTACTCTCAAGGATCCTGTCCAGGCGTGACTGGCGAAAGCACAAATTAAGAATACAAGTTTCATCTTTTTGACCGTATTTAAGTCGTTTGTATCGAACAGCTTCTGGTGCGACACTGGCGCATTTAGTATAGGGAAGATAGTTTTATAAACACACAAATGAAAATCAAAGTTATTTCTAAAACTTATGCAATACCATATTGTTATCAGGTTTACTTTTATCATCACCCGAGCTGTATTGGTCGAGGGTGTTGAGGTACGGGGTCAAGTATTGGCATGGTCATATCATAACATTTGTATCATAGATAATACACGATATAAATATTTTTAGGCGACATTTAAAGTTTCAAATTTATTGTAATTGAGGCATAATTTTTCTGAAATATGTTAACAGGGAAGGAAAACACTAGTATGGCTTTTACTGGGCAGATATGGAATTTGGGTCCAGTGGAGTCAATTTTGTATGAATAGATGGTGTGCCCCCAGACCCGAGAGGCCACATGACTTAGCATAAGGAAATCCGAATGTATAGCAGTTCGACCGTTAATAAAGAACTACCCTGACTGTTGCAAGATTTGTTAGGAAGGACTACTTGGGCAAGTTGATAGTATGTGGCTGTAAAGAAGTTTGTGCATTTCCTGGAGTCAAAGGGACAGGGCCTTAAAGGAGATTTCTTGTGCATTTTGCTTCGAAATCCTATTTCTCTTAAATAAACGTACAAATTGTGACCATATTTGGTTTGAAATATCACTAGGGCAAGCTGACCATATTTATATAAATAAAGACAGATCATCACCATGATAACCACGTACACATGTAAGGCGAATATAGAGATTACCTTATCAATGCATACATAATTGGCATTATTATACCTTCTGTTAAAATATCGTAATCTGATTGGTTAAGAAAGATGTAAACATTTTCAATGTTACTTGCTCGTTTTACAAAGATAAAGAAGACAGGGTGTTATTCCAAAAAATATCACATGCGCCAAACGTATGCGTGCACGGTTCGTCCCAGTGCCAGGGTGTTATTCCAAAAATTGTTACATGCGCCGAATGTATGCGCCCCTGGTTCATCCCAGTGAAAACTTTTCTGAAACGTTTCCTTTAAAAATAGTGAAGTGGTGAAACACCTTAACATGACACTCGGTATAATAAAATAAAAATCACATTCATGAGAGGGCGATATTGCATATTTTCACCCCTTTATATACTGGGGTATTGCCTTGTACCATGGACTTACTGGTCTTGAAAAGACAAAGTACATACTAAACTAGCCATTGACACGTCTCACATGGTTGTGTCACACGAATCTTTCTACTATCAATATTAACCAACCCGCAGAAAATGTCTACAAACATGCTGTCGGGGTTGGTCCGGGGTCATGCCCCGCCAAGGGCATTTACTCCCTCGATCATACTATGGAAACAATTGAGATCCATAACTTATTACCATATATACAGTGGCTGGGAATGAAGAAACGAATGTACTCATGTTACTAGGATTATCCCTCGGGCCTATTTCACCTCCGGTACTTATCGCCTAGATCATAACATGAAATCAGAGAACTTCATCCCTATACATTGAATCTTTACCTAACACGGAAACAGGTGAGGTCCTCGCCCTAATTCAGGGGGATTCGGCTCCATATGCAATACATGTCCTTTGTGTTTTGTCCACTACTAAGGATTTATCCCGTCTTAAGGCTCACACAGTTAAGCAACTACGCGACTACAGATAAAACCTTTTAAAATGTTCACTTTAGTTAGCGACACCAGAAGATATATTATTACTATATCAATACCTTATAAGTTTCAGTTTCAGTTTTCGAAAATTATCGAAAACTATGATAATTTTGTACTTTGACTTTGCATATATACCCTTGATTTAACTGTGACTCAGGCTCAGGTGTTCAACGGTAAACAGTTTAATAGTTCCACCAGTAAAACTACATTCTCATTGAATTAAGAGTTTAAAAGTTAAAATTCTTTATAACTATTTTTTATATACAATTGAAGAACTTTGAGCTACGAAAATGTTTCTGCATCAAAATATGAGGGATTCTGGCGTGATATTCTAATAACAGACAGTAATTGGCCAAATTAATGGGTCCTGTCCTGACTGGACTTCCGGCTGCTCCCATCAAGCATGAAACGATCACTACATCTTCACCAATTAACGAGTTCATATTCATGTGTAGTATCGAAGGACCATAGGATAACCTCGCATCAAGATACATAGCACTTTGACCTATGCTTCTTACATACATGATAACATTTTCATAATGACATCAGCTGGCATGACTATATCATATTTGCAGAGTGTCAAGGTGTGATCAGTTGCCTCTTGTAACCTGGTACATTACACTTTTACCTGGGCTATATACATACCTTATGAAATTTTAATAAATGCCTGTTTTATTTTTCATAATGACATCAGCCTAAATCATATTTGCAGAGTGACAATGTGTGATTAGGTGTCGTAAATTGGAACATTACACTTTTATCTGGGCTGTTTACGTACCTTATGGCTATCAGGTATGACTAAATCACGCTCAGTGTAGTGTCGCGAGTCTTATGTTGATATTATGATGATTCATAAACAGTTTAATACATGCCGATTTACCCAAATATGGTCATCTTCGATGAGTATGAATGTAACACAACACTTAAGTCCATACTGTTTTAGGCAAAATTCGCTAATTTCATGTTGCTAGCGTGTACAACGAATTGAGAGTGATTATACCCATCTTGTTAAAATCAAATAATACAATTTTGATGTTTGCAAGGTTTTTCGAATCTTTTAATCAGGTCACAAAAGAGACTGAGATATTCCAACACCGGTGAATTGTTTTTATGAAGAGATCGGCTTTAATGTCTTAATAGAGACTCAGTTAACGGCGAATATATCAAAATTTCACATCTCAACTCCATTTGGCCTTTTAAAATAGGCCTCTGATTGGTCGAAGTTTAGATGTTGTCTGATTCTGCCCAGAATTGGTACCTAAGGGTTTTACGGGAGGCGGAACACAATGGTAACAGTTTCGAAAGGTTAAATTGCCATGGTAACGAAATAGAGGCCTCTGATTGGTCGAAATTTACATGTTGTCTGATTCTGCCGGGAATTAGTACAAAGGGGTTTTAAGGGATGAAGAACACAATGGGAACAGTTTCTAACAGCCCAGTTGCCATGGTAGCGAAATGAGTGCCTCTGATTGGTCGAGATTTAGAAGTTGTCCGATTCTGCCCAAAATAAGTCCATAAGGGTTTTTAGGGGATGCCAAACGTGATGGTAACTGTTTCGAAAAGTTTAGTTGCCATGGTTACAAAATAGAGGCCTCTGATTGGTCGAAATTAAGTTGTTGTCTGAATCTGCCCAGAATTGTTACATAGGGGTTTTAAGGGATGCAGAACACAATGGTAACAGTTTCGAACAGCTCAGTTGCCATGTTAACAAAATGGAGTTCTCTGATTGGTCGAAATTTAGCTGTTGTCTGATGTTGCCTTAGTCCCTAAGTCCAACATGGGTCGTTTGGGGGACTTCTGTAACGGCCTTCCGTTACAATTATTACTAGTTATTATTATTATTATTTCTTCCACTTTCTTCCACCGACGAGGTTTCAACATATTTCTCGAAAAATGTAGGGCGGAATTCAACGAAACGTTTCATGAGTGGTCATGTATGGCAGACGGTGCGCAAGAGTTTTTTTTGTTTTTCGATTGGTCAACCGACTGGTCAGCCGGACGGCGGCCTCTGATTGGTCGACATTTAGATATTGTTTGATTTTGATGAAAATTAATATATAGGGATATTAGGGGACTGTGAATTCAACCGCATAGGTTTCGTTGCCATAGCAACCATATAGTAACCACACTAAGGCCTCTAATTGATGGAAATTTAGATAATGTTCGATTTTGATGAAAATTGGTATATAGGGATATTAAGGAGACTGCTAAGTCAACCGCATAATTTCATTTTCATAGCAATTATATAGCAACCACACGAAGGGTTCTGATTGGTGGACATTCATATATTGTTCGATTTTGATGGAAATTGGTATATATGGGTATAAGGGGAATGATAATTCAACCGCATAGGTTTCGTTGCCATGGCAACCACATGGAGGCTTATGATTGGTCGAAATTTATATATTTTTCGATTTAAATGAAAATTGGTATAAAGGGGTATAAGTTTCGTTATCATAGCAACCACAAGGAGGCCTCTGATTGGTCGCAATTTAGATATTGTTCGATTTCGATAAAAATTGGTATATAGGGGTATTTTGGGACTGTAAATCTAATCGCATCCGTTTTGTTGCCAAAGCAACCACACGCTTATACGTACAACTGTATCACACGTACTATGATATGGGAAATATCTGTGCGTTTCATTTACACTTTTCACAGTCTATGCAATCGTGTAATTTGATATACATAGTATAACTTAAAAGAACCTTGCATCTATAATCGTCACTGTTAAAGCTGATACCCTTAACTGATAATTTGAGATAAAAGTTGATGATCGAAACTGTTTGACACGAACCTAGTCAGTGCATTATATTGTAAATACAGCCTAGGGATAGACATATACCTTAAAAGAAGCTGACATTGATAACCGTCACTATTGAAACTGATACACTTAACTGATAATTTGAGATAAAAGTTGATGGCCAAAACTGTTTGACACGGACCTAGTCAGTGCATTGTATTGTAAATACAGTCTAAGGAATAATTTGTCACATGTACATCGTTAACCGATGAAAGGCTATAAGTTTATAGAAAACAAATATGTTTGTCCTGTATGTTCGAAATAAATCATTGTTATTAACTCACTAAAAACACGCTAGGGTTATTTTTCCAGTATCGCAGAAGCACAGCATTAATGAATTTTTCATTAATGCGACCAATTAAGCAAAATAAAATTAAAATAAAAAATAAATAAATAAAGTACTAGTTATAATAATAGTAATACAGTTTCAGACTTAGCTCAGACGTAACTGGAGAATCGAGGATGACTTCGCCTATGAAATCGTCCGTTGTTTATTTTGTCCTTCACATTTGATAAGTATGATAAGAGAGATAAGTAACACCCAGTCGAGATTTGTTTGTTAAGGGTAGAAAAAACGCAACGACATTTGTTCATAATATATATCGTGTTATTGGTTTTGCCACATTTCATGTATTGCTATATAAAATTATATGTTATACCGAAAATTAACGGTTGCTTATCATGGAATTGCGCTCTACTAGTTCCTCGCTGTTTCGTGCATGTGGTCCTATATGATGACATCTGTGCCAATGAGCCAATGGTATAATGCAGCGTGCGTCCTTGACGGTCGTCCTGTCTGTTCGTCAACTTTTATCTTTAAATAGCTTCATGAAAGACTCAGGGTCCTGATATTTACCCAGTAGGTACCTTGTATATGGAATGCTGTAGAGTTCATCATATACATTACCTTGACCTACTTTCAATGTCCTACTTTCAATGTCAAGGAGGGTGAAACATGTTTAAACCTTCAAACTACATTATCTAGAGAACCATCAAGTCATGATACTTGGATGTGTGACGAATATTTTTGTTAACCTTAGTGTTATAACCTGGTGACAGGGGACCGATGGGATTTTTTTAACATAATTACGATTATATCATAAAAGCGGTTACGCTTATCAAGTTTTTTCATATTTTTTTTAGTTTCGACTATCGAGTAATATTTGCTTTTCTATTAAATTTTGACTCAATTTACCTACTAAAGAATATGAAAGTTACATTTCGCTAAACTTTCCAGTTTAGGTATGAATTCGACAGTTGATAGATGTGGGAATTAGTCCCTTTTATTGACTGTTTTCAATTACCTTTTTAAGAAGTTTAATATGGAAGATTTAACGTTGTAATCAATACATAACAGTTATTTATCTTACCAGGACGACGTCACACAGTGAATAATTACGTCGCATGTTTTGGCACCCGTTCCGTGGCATTGACTTGCACTGGTCAACATTTTTAGAAATTACAAAAGCTAAATAAAAATAATAACAAAATCGCACTGTATGTACATATATATATGGATTGCATTCTGTTGTGATGGGTGTGAACCTCGATGGGTCTTCAGACAAATTTGATATAAACTTCGCAGTTCATTAGTTTGGTCTAAGGATAAAACAAATCCTAGGTCATAGATCTATCTAATGAAACCATTTGCATCAAGTTTGGTAAAGGTAGGTAAGGTAGGTATAAACTGTTAACATTTTTGTGAAGAAAAACATTTAGGAATTGCCAACACATTTCACACGTATGTAACACACGGTGACAAGACACATTCTTAGCGGTAACGTTGGCAACCATTTTGTGATACCCGTAACTGTAGTTACGATTATCGGCTAAGCCACAGTCAACTAACATGTACGTGTACAGTATTTATTGTGCAATATAAAACACGGAATTGAAAATTGAAAATGTTCAAAACGTTATTAACTCAGGCCAAGGCGGTCTTCGTATATTATTTTTTAATTTTACATTTTCTTATAATCGCTATGTCTTCCAGCATAATACAAGAACATGTTGATTATATCCTAAATGCATACATGATTGGGATTTATCACATAGCTGAAGAGTACATGGGAAGTAACTCTATTTCTCCTCTATGAAAGCTATACTCGCTACCGATCATCCATGCGTGGGTTTATGGTTATTTAGTGTTTAAATAGTTTCGAGTTTACCGTCATCAAGCACGTGTGAATTTCGACAATTTGTCCTGTCTGCAGAGAGTAAGTCTTTTTTAAAGATGGTGGTATAGGCCTGTCCTAATGTTTTACAATTACTAACAGGAGACTAGCTAAAGTCCAAAATATGAACAAAAAAAGGGCAGACAGGCCAGTTAATTTAAGCCACTGTAGTGATAATTCTATGTTATAGATTCCACTCCCTTTCAACAGAGATTACAAATATGGAATCAATTGCTTCCTGATTATGGAAAAAAACTCTGGAATAAACTCTATAAACTTAACATAATTTCAAAGGACAAGACGGTCTGATCGTATTTCAGATAAACAATGAAATGTATAATACGGGCCATTCAAAACATTATGTTTAGCAGTAGCGTAAGGTGACAGTTGAAGAATCTAGGGTAAAAAACAAACCGGAACAGTCAGATACCTTGTACTAGAATTTTATTTTAATATAACCTGTTTTAAAAGATAGATATACCAAAAATCAGCTGATATCATACGTTGAAATTTTATAATAGATCATTTTACCCTGAATAAATATTTTGAGTACATTTACCCATAATTATAAATGTTACAGTGACAAGCTCTGACTTACAGCAGGCCAAGTTTACTGGCTTATTCCATCCACGCCAGTAACTTACGATCTTACGTAAAGCACGAAATGCCACTCCCACCCATTTAAATAAACCCTACCCATCACAGTTTGATATGTATTCAGGATAAGATGGCTTCAATATTTTTAAACGTTGTTGATATGAAGGAATCAAAATGTCTTCGTGGTAAAATATGTAACTTTTTACAATAAATATTGTATAAATGTAGTAAAAAAATATAACAATTGTATACATTTCATCATTTTTAAGTTTGAACCAGCATGTAAATTAAACGATATAAACATATATACCAATATATGCCACTATTAAAAAATGGACCGTATTAAAATAATTTCAATGGTATAATTATGAATAAATATGTCAAAAAGACTTGGCACAATGAATAATTATCACAAATCAACGAATTGTATATCAATATCATAAATAAATATATGCTGTACGCCACAGAGAGGGCAAAACATGAGAATGGTAACAAATAATTAACTTATTGTTTCTTCTACAAAGGAACTTTTGCAAGGTTTCCGAGAAGACACATTCGGAATATTTCGGTTCAGGACTGTATTGCTGTTCTTCCGAGCCACAGTTCGTTCTTAAATGATTGGTTGAGAAAACGTCAGTCATTATAAATCAGGCAGTTCGTCCTAGCCACTGAAGCTTCCGGGGAGTTGTTATATTTCCAATAAGGAGGTCAGGGTAAAGCCATGTTCAACTCCTGCATTATTATGGTTTTCCGACCTAAAGTAAATTCATTATCATCTGGCTTACGATTGCGGTGCATGGTCGCTGACCTGGGTCATGACACATGCATTGATCAACTACTTCAATCAATTTGGTTACCCGGAATAATGCGATTGTGTACCCAAGACCAAAGATATCTGAGGCACGTGTTGTCGGGTTGCCTTCTCGGACCTCGGGTGCGAGTTGAGTGCACCTTGCATTTGTAAAACCGTTGCCCCCGTATTTTTTCACAAAGCCACATGAAGCGTGACCGAAGTCGATGTATCTGCAACATAAAAAAGAACAAATACTATATATGGCGTAAGTAATTGTTGTACATCTCAATTGCAAATATATATTTATGTCCTGTTTTCATCTGAAAGAGTGAGTGTGTGGGAGGAGAAGTCTTTGAAATCCTTTAGCTTGCACATGAATTTTTTTTTTCAGTATTAATGAAAATGAAACTAGTTACAGATTTGCATCATGGATGTATAATCACGTTCACAAAGTCCGATACTGGGAATCCTTGACTCAGTCTTACCGAGTCTTATTAACGCCATTACACATCAAGTTGTATCATTAATCAATGACATTTTCGGGATAATTAAAGTTTGAAAATATAATATGCATTATGTGGATTTTCCATGATTACTTTCCGTTGATATATACAAACTTCTCAACTACTTTTACACTTTTATAGATTATTAGATTAGAATTTGAATATATTAGGATTTCCATGTAATGAACCAATGAAACTTCATTCTAAACAGTCTTAAATATTTAATGTAAAATCACGAACAATTAGTGATATCACTGCGAATATTAAAATTATAAAAGACAAACTGTCAACGAGGTTTTCAAAATAACAAAGACAGGGAAGAATTTCGGGTCTTTGTTTTATCAACACTTCTCCTGACAGATAAATGAATATTTGAAATGTTGGAACAACAGACTCACTTTGCATGTATATCGTATCCATCGGAGGAGAACACAATAATATTGTCATCTTTGATGTCGTTCAGAAGGACATTTTTTTCATGAATGGCGTGAAGACCAATAGTGAGGCGTATAGCAAGGAAGATCTTTTGTCTCTCATCTAGAGTGTTCTCTTGTAGTTTCTGTCGCAAGGTCACGCCCGACCCAACCATCTCCATCACGATCAGCAGCTTTCGTTGATCTGTTGGGTCTGGTAGCAGTCCATACAATTTGGGAACATATCCAGTGTCAGATAAGAGTTGCATTATCCTTGCCTCTGAGATAATTTTGTGTCCATCTTCCAGAGCATGATACTGAGACTTGATCGCAACTAGCTGGCCAGTGGGGAGGTGTGTTGACGTAAAAACCTAAAAATGAATAAATTTATTGATTCAGTTTTTAAAATATGACGAAGACATTATCTGTATTTATAATGGAAAACTTCGTGATCTGTCTGCGATCACTCTACAGTAACAACTCACAACAAAGAAGCCAAACCGAACATGATCACTTTTGGAGGGGTTATTCTAATATTGTTAAATATTTTCTAAAGTCTTTCTTTACATCAAAATTGTGATCCAAATAAGCTATGATAAAAAACAAGCATCTTGAACCATCATCTTTAAATTCTACTCACCGAACCAAACATCCCTGATCCAATGACATTAACCTTATCTTGTCCTTGAAACTTGCTCGAATTGTTGTGAAAATTATTATGATTAAAATTTAAAGGTGGCTTAAAACAACTTGCTATAGCAAACAACTTCATCTTCGCTTTCTTAAATATTCGCGCTCTTCAACTTTCTATGCTGCATCTTGCTGTTGTTAGGCTTCTCGACCTATGACGTCATGTGATTATCAAGGTAGAGTTAATCACGTGACTCTTACATCCGGATACGGTAACGTTTATGACGTCATACAAAATCGGGAGGCTAGGTCTTGCTTAGATGGTTAGGATGATTTGATAAATTAAACTTTTTACGACTACCAAAACCAACAGTTTTGCTCAAGGTCAAATTGTGTATAAGGTTACTTAACAGTTCGAGAAAAAAAAGTGGAGAAATAATTTATTCTTTCAGTGCAATCCGGGATACATCCAAATTGTCCGTAATCCGAACACGAGTAACACTTACCGTAATTATCTTGGTCTCGTGTCACGCTGGATGTAGCGAAGTGTTATAAATAAACCCCATTCCATCGTGTTGTGCGCCATCTACTCAGTGTTGTAAACCCAGTGTGATATTCTGGTCCGCTGTTGCTCTGATGATCCTATAGACCTGATACCGCTATATTAGCAGTACTTTTAATACGTGTAAGTCGTGTGGATGGTCTGAGCGCTGCGCTATATCGAAACCAAAAATGTAAATGGACTTGTTGTCGCCAATTCACTGTGTTAAGCATATTAAATGTCTATTTCTTATCGAGGACATTAATTCAACACGGATCTAGACTTCAACAAATTCCAAAATGACTTTATGACTTTCAATATTTCTTACTACATTTAAAATAAATTGTATCACGAAAATCTTACTCTTTTGTAAATCTTACTCTTTTGTAAATCTTACTCTTTTGTAAATTTCCTCGGTGGTATATTGTATTTGAAATAATTATAAATTTTATTTACATGTATTTAAAAGTTATACTAATCACTCCTGATGGCCCGGATGTTAACGCGGGGGNTCAGGCAGGTGAGTAATATTATCTGTAGTAAAAGGATGCGATTTTTTATTAAAATTGAGACAAATGTTCAGTATAATTTGTTTAAAAAAAGTTCCGGACGTATATATTAACCAGATTTGCTAACGTCACGCTACCACAATTGGTACACGATCAGAAAATGGTTCGAATAGTATTTCAATATTAAATTGGTGTAGGTTCCTCCAATAGTATAACAGAGATATTTTAAGCGTACACGATGACTTCAAATGAAACACGTCAAAAAAACATTAAAAATGACGTACATCGACGATACTTTGGAGGATTTTGAAGGGGTTAATTTTGGGCATGTTTAAATGTTGATTTCTGGTCCTTACAACCGGATAACATGAAAGCGTATATGTACAGCCGTAGTTCAGTATGTTGTATATAAAAACAATATCTTTTGTTGCAATTGGCACATCAACTAGTAGAAATAAAAATAAGTTTCATAGTCTGTGCTATTGTGTACCAGTTTGTGTACTTGAGTCCCAGAAAATGAACTCCCACGGGTAGTCCTTGTCAAGAATCAAGAAACATTCCAGATACCAGATTAATATTAGCTGGTATATTGACAAAATATTTGGCTGTTAATTAGGATAATTTGTAAATTTGTAAATGCCGAAATTTGACTCTTTTCAACTTTTGAATTTGGAGAAAATACTGGAATTTCAGGCAAATCAATATTTTTCGAAAAGATTTACAGTTTTATTGTCATTCAAAATCATTTAAGATAACCAAACATTTTATAAAAATGGTGTTTTATTTTTTTGTATTAGCTGGTATATTGTCACTTGCCATATTTGATAAAATCACTACATTTGGTCATTATGTAAGGTAAGTTAAAATTTGAAGATATATCTGAATATTTTGTTCCTGAAGGAATTTGACAATTTCACCTTAGAAAATTGGGGGAAATGAGTAATTTTTTAAGGAATTTTTTTTTTTCCAAAATTCTTTTTCAAATTAATTTGATGTAAATAACTCTTTTCCTTTGTAAATCTCTTTACAGAGGAATAAAACATTTGATTGATTGATTGATTGTTCATATACACAAGAAAAAAATAACTACCTGCCATACATAAGATTTGAGAGTGTACACTTAAAAAAACCCACAACAAAACATGCTCATCGTTTACCTTCATGAAGCTGTAACTTTCAATATTTTGCTGTAACATTGCTTCTTATAAAAACAAATAAAAGCACAACGATATCTCGGAAAAGTCGACCATGATAACAACATAACGTTACGTCAACGTAGTTTTCCATGTGATGTTTACTTTACGATACTGCGAATTTCAAAACAAATACTCAAATATATCACTTTTACAAATGACTTTTCAGCTTATATTTAAATGATATAATGACAACCCGGCGATACAATAGAAATGCCGTTTTCAAACATTCCGGTAGTCTATCCTAACAACCATGCATCCATCATCTTACTCGGCCATTCGGAACAAGTAGCAACAACGAATTATAATTTGTGATAACAAGTAACTAAACACGTTTTCTTATGTGCATGTACTGATAAACGTTTTCTCTACTAGTCAGACAATTCGGACCAAACCTTTCTCTCTACTGGCCAGTTACAAGGTAATTCTGGCCAAAACGTTGTTAAATGAAGTCAATAATCCATTCACTTTAGTTTCATTGTAGACCAAAGCTTACATTTAGCGTTCTTAGTCCTATCCGGATATCCACAACCGTCTACACACAACTACTATCGCCACATGAAAACTTTCCGGAATCCGCCACCCGGAATACCGTTTTTTGTTTATCTAGCCCGAGTGTCAATAGCCACTCCGATTTAGTTATCGCTGATAAACTGTCAAAATTGTACGAATTGTAGTAGCTTGACGTTAGATTCAACATTATAGGATACCTCATAAAATGTTATTCACCTTTATAAATTTACCTACATTATATATCATACCCTTTAGTCCGATATTTGTCGAGAGCTATTCTTGGGTCTGACACGTAAACAGTCATAACGTTGTATCAAACAAATGTATGATGCTTTATACATTCTTTGCAAATACCACTATATAAAATCTCTTCCTTATTTGTCGACAAACACTCGTGTATCTTTACAGAAAACTTCTATGTACCGCCGCATGCTCAAAACTTGAAGAAAATTACGGGAAAGCCCGAGCGTGGTCTGTTTGTTTCCTTTTTGTCGATAATATCTTCATGCTCCATAACTCTGTCGTATGTGATACAGTATGTTTTTCTGTCCATGTTCCCGAAAACGATCAAAACAAACTATTTGAATTTCTAAGCGGACCCAGACTAAAACTTTGGTTACATTCAGTGTAGTTCACAATAAACCCACAGGGCTCGTTTTCCTGAAACTGTTCTCATGTTCAAGCATGGATTTTGTGCTCGAGCTTAATTTCTTGTTCTGGTTATAAATTAATAAACAAAGTTTATTGTGTCAAATGTTTGAATTCATTTAAAAAAAAATTGAAGCCAAACACTGTTTTCAATGTTTAAATTTTTACTTTTTGATCATTTGACATGACTTAAGGTGGCTCCACACATCGTCATCAGCGTCCATTTTCGTGACGTACTTCCGGAAAAAGTACAGCTCGGACTCAATTATCTTGATCGAAATGTGCATGTACACCGTGTCGTCATTTCCGTATTGCGTATCGGGCATTCAACGTCGTTGTGCAAATTATAGTTACACCTTGGCCGTTTTCGTTTAAACGGTCAAACCGATCGGACCACTGTTGTTCGTTTATTAAATAATGTCGGACCTAGTAATCTGATGCTGCTTTCAGGCGAGCCGTGAGAAAGCCTTGCAAGGCCTGCATATACATTTGCAGGTCCGCCAGGATTTATACCCAAAATTGTTACATTTATAAACGGTCAAACCGGTTGCTCCGCATACACGAACAGGCCCGTAGTAAACAATAGTACACGTGCGTGCCGATGATATCATGTGTCAACACCCGATATCGAGATTTTACCGGGAAATGTATGATCACACGTATTTCAGGAATAAAGCTTTCAAATTCATAGACATAAACACTCACGGGAAGATAGTGACATGAGACCAAACGACCTCAAGAAGGTCATATAGGAAACGCATGGAATACGGACGTACCGACCACGATTTTATAAGCTCGAGGTCGTTACGATTTTCGCTGTTGAGGAAGTTTCGCTCTGTCGATTAAATCGTGTTTACAAATGTAGTCTACTTACTCTGTGAAAATAATGTTTTGTAAAATATCAAGATACCTATAAAATGCATGTGTGAGTGCACGTGAGAACGGCATACCATGCGATAGCCTCTGGTCACATATGTACCTGACATGTAATTATAAACATACCGTGAGTTAGCGGACTGTGGAATGATGTCCAAAGTGTACATGACTGAGGGTAATTTGGTTCCATTAAAGAACAATAAATTGATAATTTTGATATCATATTTTTGATTTATTTCCATCATTTTTGTTATATGTAAACAGGGACAACTGTCATTGTGTAAATGTCACCCCTCTGCAAAAAGTTCCGATTTTTTTCAAGGAAGATAACTCTTACCCGGATCGAAGTGATTGTAAAATGTAAAATAAATTAATTATAAAGCCATTGTGTATATTTTGTTCAATTTCCCATTCTATATGTATAGATCTTTGTGTCCTGTTGGCTTTTAGCTTGTAGATAATCACTTTTATCCGTTCAAATTCAATAAAAAACAATTTGTGTAACATGTGTTACATATTTTGCGATAAATAAAATATTTGTAGGGTTAATTAGAAATGCTTCTTTTCATTTTATTATTGTTGTTATTGTTCCGAACAATGTCACACCCAAAAAAACCTCGGAAAATATTAAAATTGACGAAAATTCAATTTTTTGGTATTTTTTCCAAAAAAGTCCACTAACTATCGGAGTGTTTAGATTTTCATAAAATCAACTCTACATAGTTGCATAACCATTGTATGA